TTCAGCAGGTTTTTTTAATAATATATTTTACTGGTTGTTGGTTGTTTTATTCTTGATGTACTTGTTCTCGTAATCTGATCTTTTCTTTTCATGATGTTTTTTAACAAAATGGGGTTTTCTCACTGATTCTTACTTTGAAACCTAAAAGTATTTTTCTATAGCATTGATTAAAGTCATTTAATTTTTGCATTATTTTTTCTTAAATCATTTATTTAAATCTCTCGATATTATGATTATATCCAGGTAGGTTTTTATAATATTCTTATGAAATTTTAAGGGTAATTTTTCATTCTTTTATAGATTTTTATTTTTGCCCCATGAATATTTTTTCTTAAAAAATCCTTTATGTAATTTTCAAATACCATTGCAGTCCTCCTGCAGCTGGAAGAAGAGGCCGTTCTCGATCACCACCACCTAAACGAGCCTCACCCCCAAGGTAAGGTTTTAGTACAATACATATATATATATATATATATATATATTGCATTCTAATTTTGGTGTGGAAATTACATTTATGGGTTGCTGATAATTGTTTTTTTTTTCACCGTTAGATACCTCATATTTTGTTTTTATGATATGCTCAAAGGTTATAATTTTTAAAACGTTAAAAATTCTACTTAATAACTTTTATTATATTTGATAGCTAGGGTGTGCTAGTTCTCATTGGTTTTTGTGTAATTTTGATTGGGCGATGATTATTTGGAGCTTTAGGGTGGCTAATGAGAATGGAGTGGAGTTTATGTGGTTGTCTGTGCTTGGTACCAGGGCTTTATTCAATGCTGTAATGTGAGGAGATGAAATACAAGTAACATAAGTGGGGAGGGGATAACTTTGATTATATTGTAATTTAACTAAAGAATTACTAGATAATCACAAGGCTTTGAGGACCTCACTAAAGAAGATCAACAAATCAATGTGAATGAGAAAAAGGCCATGAAGCCAATATTTAAAACGATTGAGCATTAACAAAAATACTTCATGAATGGAATACGCTTACAGGACATTTGCTTATATAGATAGAATTAGGCCTAAGGGAGGGAGTTGGCATTAATAGCTAGATATGGAAGTACTTGGACAGAGTTGCATTTTGAGGATCCGTGAGATGAATTGCGTTCAACTACATAAAAGTAAAGTAGAGTCACATTAATTTAAAGCAGACAAATCACCTACAATCTTACAGAATTCGGCCATGCTTGATTGGGAAATACAGTGGTTTTATTCCATCATGTATTCCCTGCCATGAAGAGCAAGGAGACCTCCTAGGTATGGAAGATGGATTTGCACTTTAATTAAGTATATATTGAGTCCAAACATGCGGCAGGCTGGCCATGCACACCTATGTAATGATTGGAGCTTGCGTTGCTTCTTTTTGTAATCCTATTATTATTTCTTTAAGGTGATAGCTGACCATGCAAATAAATTTTGGAGGTCCAACCCTCTATCATGTCCTCATCCTTGGGTTTGAACCTCTTTAGGTCATAAAACTTTATATGCTTTTTTGGTTTATTTTGCACTTGATTTTTTCTTGGTGCCAAATCAATATTTGTGATTTTTTATTATATGTTAAAATACTGTAGTAAAAAGGACTACATTTTGATAGTATAAACTTTCATGGCCCTAGTGAAGTGATGCTCTAATCCATGAGAAACTCTTTTTATAGATGACCATAGCTTTAAGTTACGCCAATGTTGAATTACATCTGGTTTATAAAATTATTATCGTTCCTTGTCTTTACATGGCAAACAATGTGATGTAGCTTTGAATTTACAGTCAGTACTAGCACTGACCAAAGTTACAAGTGGAAAGTAATTGAAGTATGCTAATATAAAAGAGCTTGGATTTCCTTCTCATGTATTTTATGATATAAAATTGTATAAGACTTATTATGGTTGCCTGTGACACTTTGAAGTTGCGTCTGAGATCAGCAAAAGTTGGATATTAACACCTCCCAAATACTTGTTGGCTTCTTTATGACTCTTCCTTCACATATCATATTAGTGGGATGAGATCTTTTGTGAAATTTCTGTTCGGTCTCAATGAATAGATTTGTGAAGCAATATTTTGGTTGGCTCTTAGTATTTAGCCATTAACACTTTAACATGACTGCACATTTTGTTTTAGCAAGATACATACCACACAATTCCTATGTTTTTATATATTTAACATCTAAAGTTTAATTTTTTAGTCTATACCACTTTATCCATGTTTAAAAGGTATGTTTCACTTTTCAACCGTTAATAATAGTGGTATTTTTGATATGATACGAAAGATTTGAGTTATAAATGTTAAAAAGGGTGTCAGATATGTAAATACATAAAAAATGTGTGCTATGTATGTAAATGTTTGCTGTTGCAGAATATAGATAATTGTCGCGTCACCTTTACAATTTTTAAATCATTTAAATTTAGTCTTTAATGATTTATGCCTGTGTCATTTTCTCTCACTTCAAGATTATGCTTATAGCAGGAGTGCATACTTCTATTTTTTTTTTTGATCTCTGAATGACAACAACTTTTTTTTTTCCTTTGGTTGGGCTGCTATAATTAAGAGTTAAAGCAATTTTATTTTACATTTTTACCCCAATCATTTATAATTTGTTACAGGAAAGTATCTCCACCTGTTATTGAATCTGTTGTTCTCCACATTGATCATCTATCAAGGAATGTCAACGAGGCACATTTAAAAGAGATATTTAGTGAGTACATTTTTTTCTACCTCAGGACTACAATGGTCTTCTGTTTCCTTGTGAGTGTAAATATTTTTTGAAAAATGCCTCAAACCTTGACAATAAAAATGAAAAATTGCCAATCAAAATTTCCGTTGTTCAGACAGTTAGCAGATTGTAATTTCACAAATAAAGAGGGATGGTTCTAGAGCCAAGTTGACATAGCTTTTATTTTCCACATTCTGATCTCACTGTATATTAATTGACATCTAACTGGGAGATGAATAAACTAATTAGTTGTAACTTCGACACTAATTTTATAAAGCTGAAGAAGCAATTCTTTTCACAGATGTATGAGTGATGTTTTTTTTTTTTTTTTTATAGTTGCTTTTGAAGAATGACTATTAGGTGAAACGTACTTTTAATTTCTTTTGGGCGATGTTTGGTAATTGCTTTTTGAATCTACTTGCGGTGTTAGTAGATCACACATCTTAATTTGCTTAGAAGCATCAAAAGGCTTATAGTTCATTATAACTACGTTAGGATCATAATGTTTCCGTTTTTCCTTTATGATGTGTTAGGTCTATGTTTCTTCCGCTGTTGGAAACATTCCCATGTTAATTCTTAATTTTTTTCAATTTTCATTTATTTAAATCTGTTGTTTTGTTTGGTGTTTTCCAATAATTATTTATCAGAAAATTGGCTATAGATGTAATTCCATGTTATAGTTAATTTTTATATCTCAAGCCTTATAGAATTAAGATGAGATATTTTACATTTTTCTTTTCTATGTTTTTTTGAAGTGCTTTGAATTCAATTGGTTTATTAAATCAATTTCAATTCACTTTATCCAATCATCGAATTGATTGGATAAAGTGTCACATTGAGACGTGCTATAGGTTAAATTCATCGTATGGCAACAAATAATACATGGAAAATGGGGCAGATCATCATCTTGAGGAATCAACTTCATCCACTTCTGAACACATGCAAGCAACGCGTTGATTTCGTCTCCTCTTGTCTGGTGACCTCAGGGGAACGAAGCCTTGAAATAGGAAACGACCGTATCCAAAAGTTTCTTAAGGATATAAACAACATATTCAAAGTTAAGATTAGCTATGATGTTGGTTTGTTTCAGAAACGACCAACCACTAAGATAGAGCATGAATGAGTAACGAGATTATCTTCAATTTATGTTACTAGGGTAAAAAATCCCAAACCAAAATCCCAACCCTAATAGGTCCTACTCGAATATTATACGGTAAAAAATCCCAACCCGAAACTGACCCACTTCAACATGCCAACCAAAATCCTGGCCCGTATGGCCCGTTTAACATAAGGAATAACATCTATTTAGGTTAAGATCGGGTCAATTTTGAGTTTATGGGTCGATTTTAAGTCAATTTAGGGTTGACAGGTCCTTTTCGGATTGATTGTCAATCCGAACATGACCTAAAAAATTAAACGAGTTAGGTTATTTAATCCAAACCCGACCAAAAAAATTATCGGGAAAATCAAGATATGGATTTTTAAGTTGGGTTCGGGTCGAGTTGCCATGAGGGGCCTTTTTTTGACACCCCTACTTGTAGTGGTTACAAATTGAGTAGATTCTCACAGCAAGAAGCAGAAGGAGGTTCAGACGAGCACTTTGACTTCAGACCATGAACGAATTACACATCACAAAGAATACAAAGAGGTTTGTATTGGAGTAGATTCGAATTGAAGTCATCCAGTCTACATGCTTAAGAAAACATGAACACTTTCTGTGTATAAGACTTAAAAATGCATGTAAATTGTGTAATGATCGATATTATAGACTCAACATATGATGTGATATAAGATATAATTTGAAAATTTCAAAGTGTAATTAGTAAAATTTAATCATACATATATGTGAAATGATTTAATTGAAGCATTTCTAAAAAGGCGAATTAACTTCAATTACATTTAATTTGCAATTCAACACGATCAAATTATACATTTCATTGACTAATTTTTACTATCCTTGTAAGTTGTGTAATAAATTGAAGCACATGAAAATTAAAATTCTAACCATGTAAACATATTTGAATGGAACATGTCTAGCCAAGTAATGGATGCCTATTTTTTTTTTTTCCTTTTAAGAATATCAATTTTGGCTTGATAATCATGCAAGACATTTTTTTTTATACTTGTAGATCAAACATGGTATCCATGTATGAAATCTGATATAATCAAATTAGTTTGCAAAGCTTTAGATGGATGCAAATTTCAATGATAATGAAATGGTAGGTTAATTTCAACACTATTTATATATGATCTAATCGAACTTTCAGCCTTCCCTTTCAAATATTGGGCTCACTTCCTGTTATGTGGAATAGAGAATCACGGTGGATGAGACCCTAGCTGAGGGCTGCATCCAACTGCGCCAGTGCCTTTTATTGTGGCAGCCTGTCTATAGGAAGGCAATTCAAGAGCCTGTGGTAATCGATGGGCTGATTATTGGGCAATCTAGACTTATGGAACAAGAGAAATTAATATGGGTCGAGGAAGTAAACCCGACCTCCACTTCATAGGTTGAATGAACTTTGGTTGAGCAAATTAAGTAGAAGACTCGCGCATAATGAACTTGAAGATGTCGATCTTTGAAGGAGAAGGTGCCTATGGTTGGGTTTATCGTATGGAGATATACTTTTCTTTTAATTTGCTGATGTAGGAAGAAAATTTGATGGCGGAGGCCCTATGTTTGGAAGGGAGGCCTTTAACGTGATATAAATAGAGAGAACAACGTCAACCAATCAATACATAGGAAGCATTCAAAGGACAATTGTTAGAGCATTTCAGAAGCACACGGGAAGGGGATTTACCAAGCATATTTTTATATTGATTCAGGAAGGATCTATTATAGATTATAGGGAGAAATTTGAGATGTTATTTGACCATTTGAGAGGGATATCAGAAGGCGCTGAAGTCAAATAATCAAGCAACACTTTGCCTGCCGAGACCGTAAAAATTGGGAAAAATTATGGAACTAACAGAATTAGTTGAAAATAAAATGCAATGGAATGACTTAATAGAAGCAGGATAAGTGGAGTGTCATATCAAAATGCTATAATCACGTTGATACCAAGTTCCACGGGACAGGAATAATGGGCCACACTTAAGGGCGACATTCACATCTTATAGAGATAGATTTAGGTGAAGTGAGCCAAGGGGTTATGTTTTTAGTGTGACGAGAAGTTTACTCTAAGACACAATTGCGATGATCAGACCTTTGACTTTACAGTTTCTCATAGTGTGTGACAAGAGAAGCATGGAATGAAGAAAAAGAGGAGGTTATCGTGGAGGAGGAACACTCTCACTTGGATGTGACAAATGTCTCGTTAAATTCAGTGGTCAATACTGAACTACACTATGAAACTTCAATCGTAGATGTGGTGGTGTTGGTAGATAGTGTGGCCACCCACAACTTCATCTGTACTCAATAGTGAAATAATTGAGGTTTGTGATACTTGAAACAAATAGTTTTTGAGTCATGATTGGGACGGGACAGGTGGAGAAGAGTAAGGGAGTTTGTAAAGGGATAATTTGAACACTTCAAGGTATTGGGGTGATGATGATTTTCTTCTCTTGGATTCAGGGAGCAACGACGTGATATTTGGTGTAAAATGGTAGCAGTCCTTAGAGGAGAGTAGGATGAATTGGAAACTCCTGTCAATGGTGCTTTAGGAGAGAGAGAGAGAGGATGTCGGTGCTTCGCGGTGATCCTAGTTTTTGCAAGACCTTATTGACACTCAATATCATGGTTAGAGCAATACAAGTCGTGGGTTTGGGATTCTTTATTGAGTTGCATTGCATGGAAGATATATATGACGCACAGTTGGCATAAATTTTGGTACCAATTCAACAACTCCTACAATAATTTGCAAAAAATTTTTAGTTGCCAAGCGGATTGCTGCCTCGGAGGGAACACGAGCAAGCAATAACCTTGAGATCGGGGGTTGATTCATCAGTGTGCGCCTACACCGCTATCCCCAAGGTTTCAATTCAACGCTAATTGAGTTGGTTGATCTTCTGATAGAAGAGAAGGCAATCAGATTAAGGAAGTGGAGCTAGCTTCACGTAGACTTAAAAAATATATCGACAACATTTTACAAGGATCCAAAAACTATCAATGTTGTTCTTAGTGAAAGTGATAGCAGTGTAATAGATGATAATTTAGGGGAATATAATATGTGGATGGCAGTAGAAAATATGATATTTTTGCGTCGATGGAGAGGGAATGAATACAATGTCAGAACATCTTAACATGTATTGGGTTGACAACATGAAGCATGTTTTTGATTATTTTACATAAAGAATTCCTAGGTCTAGCTTCGATCATCAGAAGACTGTGCTTGTATGGAATTACAAGTATGGAAATGTTAAAGTTGGAAGAATTCAAGGGACACAATGCAACATCGTTTGACTAGTCCAATATCTAATGCACCTTTTGATATCGTCCAAGACAGTCAATCGGTTGAGATTCGTTCAGTGAGAGTCACTATGGGTGATGCAATTGATCGAATATTAAGAGAAATTATGCAGAACAAGAATATGGTTAACCCAATATATTATGTTTTATGCATCAAACACTTCTTGGGAGATGATGATAATGATATGAATGAAAATTTTATTAGGGCCTCTTTAGTTAAAAGGGTTCCACCATAAATCAACTGTTGGGAAAGAAGTGTTGATTAAATGGGAAGGATTGCAATATCATGATGCAACATAGGAGCTATATGATTTTATCCAACAACAATTTTCTCTCTTTTACCTTGAGTACAAGACATTTTTTTGGGAGGGGAGTATTGCTAGATGGGTGTAGTATGCGCTATCCACCAAATAATTTGATAACTTATTTTAGGCATAAGACAAAAACAACAATTTAGTCATTTGTTAGTTATTATTGTGGTGTAGAAATATGGATTAATATGTTTAGGATTATCTTATGCGTGATTGCTGTTAAATCTTAGGGTTAGGGTTAGTGTTTGGAAGAGATCGTTTATCTCTCGAAGTGTATGTGTTTATCTTTTATGTATTCAAAATTGTAACGTTTTGATTTTGTGTCGACAAAATAGAATCTATTATTTTTGCCATAATTCTTGCGGGAACTTATCTCATTCCTGTACTCCTCCCTTTCAAAGGTTGGGATTTGAGGAGGGCAATAGGGCATAGGATTTGCCTTAACGTTTTTAGTTTTATTTTAGTTCAAGTTTAATTTTGGTTTTGCTGTTTCTGTCATATTTGGAGCTTAATTCAAACTTCAAATTAAAATTTAGTTTGATTTAAGTCATGTTTAATTTATATGTTATTTTAGCTTTTATTTATAATTACTTTAGCTTTTATTTAGTTTATATTTATTTTTTTATTTTACATTACGTTTTAGAATTTGATTGAGTTTATATTTATTTTAATTTTTTGTTTGATCCAAGTTTATTATTTTTTTATCTTAGGTTTAGAGTTATTTTATTTAGTTTATATTTATTTTTTTATTTTACATTACGTTTTAAAATTTGATTGAGTTTATTTTAAGATTAGTTTATGTTTTTTGAATTTAGATTTAATTTAGTTTCGTTTATTTTAAGCTTGGGTTTTGTTTTGTTTTGTTTTAGTTAATAGTTTAATCTCTGAGTTCATGTAAATTTGTATATAATTTTAGTTCTATTATTTACATTAGGTTTAGATTTTAGTTTAAGTTTTAATTTTCAGCTTAATATGAGTTGATGCTAAGTTAAAATTTATTTTTTAATTTGAAATTTAGTTTGTTTAAGTTAATTTTGATTTCTCTTAGTTTGTTCAGTTTACTTTAGATTTAAGTTTTAATTAAAAATTTTATGGTTTACTTTATATTTAAGTTTTAATTAAAAAATTTTAAGATAAATTTTAGGTTGAATTAAATTTAATTTAAATTTTATATTCAAGTTTTGATTTGGGTCCATTTTAAATTTACTTAAACTTAGTTCAATTTTAAATTTAAGTTTAATTAAATTATGTTTAAATTTGAATTAATTTTAATTTGAGCAAAGCTTAAGCTCATTTCAACTAACTAAAGCCCTAAGCCAGTCGAAAACCAACCACTCGATGCTAGGAAGGGGGGTCAGGAGAGAACTGTTGACCAAAAATTAAAAATAATGTCAACAATATGTCTTTGGGTTATTTAGAGTAAATATAATTTTTTTAACTTATCCTTCACATTGACTTTCATATTTTACTATATTTATGTTTGCAATGAGTTGATGTTAGTTTACTATTTAGTCATATAGCTTATGACAAATATGGTCTTAATATTCTCGCGGTTTGCTGTTCTTAAGATGGAAACTTAAATCATAGATATAATTTCATGCATGTGATTTTTACTACATTTTTTTATATCATAGGCTTTTAATTTATGAATCATTTTATCTTAAATCTGCCAAATTTATTTCTGACCAATTGGAGTAGTTCTTAGGATCATCTAGGCATATTGTGAGCCAGTGTTGGCTGCCAGGATTCATCCTGAGAAGCTCTTAAAAAATTATAAACCCGCACTTTATGGAGAATTTCTTTAAATGTATTATTGGAAGGTTTTGTTTAACTAAGGTCCCTTATAAATAAACATCCTTGTTGGGTGGCTTGGTTTTCAGCAGGACTCAATCAATATGATTATAAGAAGAAATGATTCATAGGCGTAATAGATTAAGTTTCATATATTTTTTTTGAATAAAATAATAGGTTATAAAAGAGCTTATAAGCTCAAATTTAGAAGTACTTTGGGAGTATTATATGATATGAGATATTGTTGAATTTTAAATTTTCAATTTTATAGAGCTTTCACTAGTTTGAGTATGTTGTTTTGATCCAAGTGTTTGATAGTTAAAAGCTGTTGATCGCTTAGTTGAATATGATGGAAATGGGAATGTTTAGATTAATTTATGGATAAATTTGAAATGGTAAATTAATGAATGATTATGGTAGAGAAATAGATGGAGCAACATCTACAGAGGATAACGTAGTTTAAAATATGTTTTAGGTAGGAAGGGTATAAAATTAACGAATTAGAGGATAAGTAGCTTTAGTGTTGGAGAATTGGGAAGAAAGGGGAAGAAACTTAAGGCAACATTGTTAAAAGTTGTTCAAATGATTTGCAGGAGCATATTTATGTCGTGTAACAATTAACATGAACAAATGTTAAATAATGATTAAAAAGGCGAACCTTAGATAGTTATGATGGTGACTGATGAGAGAACCAATTCTTGCCTTCTAACAAAATTGCGGAATTGCCTAATCCTGTTGGAGATATTGACATTTGTACTATATATTCATATACCTTCAACATGGGGAAGCATGATCATTAACATGAGCAGTTTCTATGACATCAAAGGCACTGTTAGTTGATGTTGAAATGCATGTTCACAGGTAATTTTGGTGAGTTGGTCAATGTGGAGCTTTCAATGGACAGAAATGTAAGTGGCTTTTTTGTGTCTGCTTGGGAACCTGGTTGATTTAAAATTTGTGACTCACTCTTCATTCTTCTGAAGGTCAACCTTCCCCGGGGTTATGGTTATGTTGAATTCAAGAAGAGAACAGATGCTGAGAAAGCCCGTCTTCACATGGATGGTGTATGTGCTGTTAATTGTTTAAACTTATTTGCGCCCTTTCCTTTTCTTCTCTTTTAATTTGTGTTACTTATACTGTTTCCTATCCCATAACAGGGTCAAATTGATGGAAATGTGGTGTCAGTAAAGTTTACTTTAGCACAGCGGCAGAAGATTTCTTCACCCCCAAAGGTGATTCCTCCTCCAAAAAGGGAAGCACCTCAACGGGATAAGATACTTCCTGGACCTGAGAAAGAAGTTCCATCCCGTCTAAGGGAGTGTATGTTCCTCTGTATTAAATTGGTTAATAAAATTTACTTTTCTGATGCAAACTTTTAATTTTGTTGTTTTTTGCATATATTTTTAATGCTCAGCTGTATTATTATTTTTGTTTGTTGCCTATAATTTAATATTTAGTATGCTTTATTTTCCTGACAGTTTTGATATTTATTGCCTTCATTCCTTCTGTTATCTATTGATTGTCTTGATTTTCTGTTGGTGCTCATCCTATTTCTGGCTAGTATTTGTGCAATCATCTTTTAGTCAATCATAGTATTATAATACCTTAGATTGGTATTTGTTTTTCATCTCTATACACACTGCTTTCATATGTACAACTAATATTCCTCCATGGTCAGCTTCTCCACGTCGTAGACCACCATCACCGCCGCCACGAAGGCGATCTCCTGTTGCAGTTCGTCGCCCTGATTCACCTAGGCGTCGACCTGATTCTCCTCCTCGCCGCCGTCTGGATTCTCCAGTACACCGTCGAGCAGATTCTCCTCCTCATCGCCGTGGAGAAACACCACCTCGCAGAAGGGCTGCTTCTCCCATTAGGAGACGCTCGCCCTCTCCCAGGCGGCTTAGATCACCTGCACGGTTTGTCATAACTATACAGTTCTGTCATCACATTTTGTTGACTTTTTGCCGCTAGTTGACAGCAGATTGCCAAATAAAACTTTGCTGCAGTGTTTCCCCACGAAGGCTACGTGGCAGTCCTCCCCGCAAGCGCTCTCCAGTACCTCTCAGGCGGAGGTGAATCGTTTTACTTTTTATAGAAGTGTTTGCTACACACACACACCCACACACACCCACACACCCACACACACATATATACAGTATTGAGCTTCTAGTAGCTTAGGTTTATTTATTTGTTTCCTGTTGTTGATAAAGTATGATAAAAAGCTTATCTCGGAAAGCTGTTGTAGGAAGCTGTTTAATGGAGATCGTGACGCTCTAATTAGTATTGTGCTTCTATTTTTTTTTAACCCAGCTGTTAGTTCACAAGGTGGGAGTTTATTGTCGTGTAGTGAAAATCGAGCCTAAGACCTTGACAACGGCTTCCATGGCCCGTCCTAATCAGACTATTTGGTACCCACAATTTTGATTTTGCAGATGTTATTGATAAAACATTATAGGTAGTTGCTGGAAGCTGTTCTTAATGAAGTAGTCTAAGCTATATCGGGGCATATGTGGTTTTGATTTTGCTGCTTGTTTCTTTGGTTGCTTTCTCTTGCTTATGACATTCATTCCCTTAACAATATTTACCAGCAATTTTATTATTTTAATTTATAGAAGAGAATGCTCTTATATGAAAATTATGAAATTCATTCAATAATCTAAGGCAAAAAACAATGTGATTTTATCATCAAGATTAGTCTTAAGTTTTAGGATGGATCAAAATAAGTTTTGGAGTAATCTTTGACAAACTACGGAGAAGCAGTGAAAGACATCCTTGCGGCAATCTTTGTTTTTTTTTTCCGGAGTGATGAAAATGATTGCTATTGTTTTTTAGGTGCATTCAAGCCATTGAGAAGGTTACCTTTTAAAAGTAATTTCGAGCTGCTGCAGTTGACGACAAATTTGGGCCACCTGTTTTGCATAAATCAGGGAGAAAACTATCATCCAAAAGCAATACAGAAAAGCAGCCGTTTTCTTTTAGCGGAATAGGAAGAGGCTTAACAGAGTTTTATTAATGTAAAATCTGGACTACTAGTAATATGTACTTGTGGAACATGAAGTTTATTTGCCATTTTCATTGTGTTTTAATGGCCAATGTTTATGGAATCTTGTAAAATATAAGATGATGTTTCATGGTATTAAGATATATAAAGTTGATTTAATCTTTTGAATATTCAATTAAATTTTGAGTGATGTGATAAAAAATCTTTATCACAGTTACCACTCCAGCCCCATGGTCTAAGCGTAGGCTTCCAGTGCAGGGTTTATTTGTTGTAGGCTTGCATATACAAGTTTGAGTGTGAGTTTATGATTAAATTAACTCAGTTTTCAAAAAAAATTTATTATCCAATTATGTGTTATTTTTTTTCTACTCCAGTGTCTTTAATGCTACGATTCAATCTTAGTTGGCATTGACCTATTAATTTTTTTTCAGACAGTACAGCAGATAAATTTAAAACCATTAAGCTCAACCAGAAGGTAGACTATGATACTACATAGACATATAATGTTGAGATGCAACAAGTCTATAATCTTGCATATATGAGTGGAAAAATATGCCATACTTATCATTATAAACACGTGGTACGGACATTTGCATTCATATGCATAAAATATGTATGAACAAAAGATTTGGATTAAGAGGTGAAGGGAGCAAAAGGGAGGTGAATCTAGATTCAAGAGAGGAGAGTGGTAGGGAGGTGCTAGCCCCCACATGAAATGGTAGTCATATCTCATTATTTGTTGTGGCTGTGGCTAGAAAATAGATGGGTCATGGTCGAAGGGGAGGGAGAGAGGAAAAGACGAGAGTACGGAAGTGTGGGGGGTGTGGAGCTTGGTTCACATCTTGAGCATAAGCACAAGTCATTAGCCATATTTCACTGTTTATTTCTTTCCCAACAGTGCAAAACTTTAGTCTATGGTTTAGATACTATTACCATCATAAAGTTCTGATCAGATGCTAGCTGATGTATTAGAAGGAATTGATTTGATGCCACTTTAATTATGCACCTTTTTTAGAGTTTCTCACTTGATCCTCTAAATGCTTTTGATTTGCTTGATTTCTCGTAGATACATGAGAACTAAAGAAAGGAGGAATTTGAGAGAAGAAAAAATGGATTGGGTTTGATTATTGTAGCAACATTGTAGCTCTTAGGAGGGAAGAAAGTTTTACATTATTAGAACAAATGTAAACGTTTACTGTAGCAACATTATAGTGGTTAGGAAGAAAGCTAGTGAGGGAGACGATTCTAAAAATTTTATTAAGTAACACTAAACAAATTCCAAAATCATTCAAATTATTGGAATGTTTTATAAATAATCTTCTCGTGCTTTATCAAAATGTCTCACTATTATTTCTAATTGTAGCAGTGCAAAAGAAGTAAGCTGTGCTAAACTGAGATGGACAGCAGAGTGATAGATTGGGAAAGGCATTACAGGGCCTCGCTCCCTCTCCCTCTCCCTCTCACTCTCTCTCATACTGTATATTCCTCCCCCATTGCCCTCTGGGTTTACCCTTCTTACCTCTGTTCTGCTACAACCAAAGTAAATAGTAAGATAATGACATCTATGGACTGCCTGTGCGTGAGCTCCTTCCACCCCACCCCAGCTTCCCCTCCCAACCTCTCAATTTTCTCTTACATGCCTTTCCCTATCCATCTCTTTACTATTCATCTATTAGTTTAGGCTTGCTTAAAGAGAGAGGGAGCAAGGCTTCTGAGGCTATACCTCTGCTGGATTAGGTGTTTAATGAGTGCTAGATAATCTCTGTGAGGGTGCATACAGCTATTTTTGTTTCATTGTTGGTTTCCGGGTGTTTTGAGTGCAAAAATACTAGTTACTCCAGGCTACCTCGTATCAGAACACTGCAAATGTTGAACAAATCTGCTTTGTACTTTACCCTTTTACTGAAAGACAATATTTGATTACCAATTTTATGCTCACAGTATCGTGATGTTCTAATTTCAGATCTGCAATTTCAAAACTTAATTAATTATTTTAAATATGATTTATTTTCACAATCATGATAAAATTTAAATGCTTTATTGCAGATCACCATTAACAAGGAGAGCTAGGAGTCCACCAAGGAGATCACCTCCAATGCGCCGTCGTAGCCGTTCGCCTATTCGGAGACCTGCTCGTTCCCGTTCTAGGTCAGTGTCTCCCCGCAGGTATGATAATTATTTGGAGTTTTTTTTTATGGCTCCTATGTTTCATATGCTATTAATTATGGTGCTGAATACCAGTTTACCTACTGTTATTTAATTTTTCCTGGAAAGTTCAGACGTTTATTGTTTTTAATGATTTTCTCATTAAAGTTGCTATGTGTTTTTTTTTTTAATAAATAAAGTATTATCTTGTAAGCTTCATCTTAGAAATGCAAATCTGAATACCCTTTTAGTGGCACAGAAAAGCTTATTCTATTGTTCATTTAGTTTTTAATTGAAACTTGATGTGTGATAACCCGAACTTGCACCCATCAAGTTATTATCCGCTTTGGCCAAATGGCCTCACGATTTTGCCTCGTTGGTGTAACTTACCAGTAAATCACCCATCCTAGGAGTGCTCTAGGACGAGCACACATTGGAGTTTCTAATGAAATTCCACCGTTACACTAAATGCATCTTGATGTTTAAGAGTTTGGCTTCATTCTAAAGGGGTTTCACAAGGGGGCTGTGCTTATGATAATTGGTACTCTAGTGGAGAAAAAGCTTTTTTATTGATAAATAGCTCAAACAAGTTGATGAAGAGAGTGTGTTTCACCTTATCATTTAACAAATGGTCTTCTTTTTGGTGAAGTTAAAATTGTCCATTTGTACAACTGACTTCTATACATTTTCAATATATACTATTTTTTGAGGGGCTTTATCATTTGACTAAGGGACTGTTTATTTGGATGTATTAGGAGCTCTAGTAAAAAAAATGCTTAAGTTTTGGGATTTAATGTGTTTGGTTGGAGGAAAAATAAAATTCAAATATTTTTATAAGGAGTTTGTAATACTCTCTTAGATTATGACTGTCTGCTGTTGCAATCTTAAAACTACTGTAATCTCGTAAACATGATCCTGCCTGTTGACAGTTCACCAAGACAACCCCGCTGTCTTCCAACCTTTTGTATTCCAAATGCTATAGATGTATTTTACATTTTATTTGAAATGCACCTAATTCTAAATACTTGCTATTTTGTAGTTCCTAATAAAATGTTTATTTCTATGATGAACTCTTGATTGTGATTTAGCTGTGTTTTTCCTCTCATTCCTCCTAAATGGGAGCTATTTTTAGAATTAATGTCACCTCATGTTGAATTAACATCACAAATTAAACTATTTTTAACTACTAACTAATTACAAGCTTATGTTTTGGATCATATTAATGATACCCATTTCTAATTGACTTCTAAATTATATATTTTAATGTTAAAGCAGGGGCGTTCGAGCACCTCCAAGACGAGGTAGATCTTCATCCTTCTCCAGATCACCTAGTCCTCGGAAGGTTGTTTTCTTACTATACTACCCTTCATCTGAAACAGTTCTAAATGTACATAGCAGCTGACTTAGAATTTCTGGCACAGGGACCTCGCAACGTAGCCAAAAGTCGCAGTCCAAGAAGGTATGTTTAACTTTTATGATTTGATGGAGGGCTTTCATATCACAGTTTTTAGTACCTCCTACCATTTCATATATTTTTGCAGACATTAATTTCAATTATTATCCTATTGGCTTATGTTTACTTCTCATGTTATTTAAGGCCTATATATTTTTGTTATATTCAATCTCAACTGTAACATTGCTTTGAACAAAACTTAATCACATGATAAGTTCAACCCTCCTAGAAACCACTAGTCACATTACTATTTTTATATTTTATGTTTTAACAACCGGGTTATCTTTTTAGCCTCACTTTCTATTAAAAATGCTCGGCATTTATGATTTGCCGACTTTTTTTTTTAATTATCATAATATGCAGTATCTAGCACGCGTAGGACATTGTGTGACACATTTTTGACACACATTATGTTTGACCATAAAACATAATAACTAATTAATATATTTGTCGAGGGTTAAGTGAGATGGTGATGATGAGAAACATAAGAAAAAAACCAATATGAGGCTTAAATTAAAAAAATAATAATAAATAAATAAACAATTGAGTTATACCTCAATAACTAATTTCTTTAGATTGTGTATGTTTTATAAAGCTAATTTTTTTAATTAACTTTACAAAGCAACAATTATATAAATCGGATTGCATTTCATTCATCCTTATATAGTGTAATTATTTTACCATATTTTTAGTTTTTAAGATATATTTTAAATGTGGTTCCCGTGTCTCACCTTTCATATTTGTAGCAGCCCCATATACGTTCTAAGCATCAAGCCTAAGACATTGTGTTAACGCACTGTTTCTTTTATGTTTCTGTTCTTCTTTAAAAGACCTGCTAGAGGAAGATCCGTCAGCAACAGTCCCAGCAGCAGCTCTGCCTCTCCCAAAGGACCTAAACCTTAATATGTGACTCGCAGTAAAGCAGGTAAGCTCTCTCTCTCTCTCTCTCTCTCTCTCTCTCTGGCCAACCCCGCCCCTCTCTCTCTCTCTCCAGCCCCCCACTCCATGTCAACCCTTGTAAGTCCTTGGGTACACCCTCTACCTGCGAATTCTACTAGTTTTGCGGCGGTGTTCTGATGCTGGAAGACTTTTTTTTTTAACCAGTTACCATTTATTTTGAAATTGTTTTGGCCAAAGAACTTTAGTTCGAAAACTATGTGGCAACTCTTTATTTCCTGCACGGATTATCTCCAATTTGTTGCTGCTACAGTATTTAAAATGATTACATCTTCATCTCCTTTAATCATGTTCTCTGGAATTTGATGATGTTAGATAAAAGACTTTACTTCGAATTATTGTGATGTTTCATAACTTACTGCTGCCAATCTTTTTATTAGTAGCCCTTTTTCGTTTTTGTAATTGGTTCTGTGAGGTTGTTAATTTTGCACATTTAAATTGATTTTATGACGCCATTCAAGTTGGAAGTGGTGGCTGGTGCGTTAAAAATGAGGACTGTCTTTTGCAAGGCATGGATATGTGCATCATTACTACTTTTTTATTATGGACGGGCATGATTTAATTTGTTTAATAATCTGACTATCTGTTAAATTGAATTGAATTTATTTTAGGAATTAGAAATCTGAGTTATACTGATCAAAATTGAGTCAGAATTATCCAATTGAGCCATTCATTGTCAAATTCACTCAAAGCTAATTTCATTTGATCTAGCTTGAAGCCCAATGAAATCCTTATGCACCTAATTATCCCCTAATGTACTTGAATTTATTCAACCTTAAGCCCAATTTGAGCTATTTATTATTCTTGTTTGACCTTAATCCTTGGAAGGTTATAATCTCTCTGTATTCATAGCATTATTCTGAATCCAATTTCTTCAAGCTACTACTGTCCCTTAATTAAATTAGCAGTCTATAATTAAAAGGAGGAATTTTGGGCTAAAACCTATTTGACTTAACTGAGCCACCTGACCAACTTAAAGAGGCTCTATCACTACTAACAGCTGGATAGTTGGTCTGATAGGTTGGCCTGATCAATGGGCACTGTCCCTTCGATTTATTTTTAATGATGATCAGAATCATTCTCCACCATCCTACATAATTAATATAGGTCAAAAATTATATTAGTTGATTAGTTCTTTGAGCATTCATAAATATGACTCAAATTGAACTCATTTGAAGGACTTTTAAGCAATTTTTTAGATTTGTGGATAAAGTTTTGAAGCAACATAAATTATTGTGTCACCTCATTAAAAAGGTCGCTGTTACACAACTTGATTAAATATGTCACTTATCGGACTTGAAATCACTTGTAACAACATCAATTGCCTAATTGGCTCTATAATATAATATATTAAATTAATTCCAGCCAAGTAGATGGACGGACTAACCAATCAAGCAGATCCAATACATCATCAACACAATTCATATTTTTTTTCAAAAGTAATTATAATTCAATTAAAAAAAATACAATTTGTTCAACCAAAATTTTCTACGCATGACACCAAAAGATTTGTAATGCCCCTACTTCTAGACCCTATCAATCATTTTCTCAGTGAGATCCTTGCCACAGTGCCTCACACTGAGCTTATTTGACAAATGGTTTACCAAGCAATAGCTGAAATGAGCATGGAACTAGATCAATTATAATTTGACATTTATTCATAAAAGATGTTTATATGCGTGTATTAAGATCATCTATTCTGCATTTATTTGGTAGTCAAAATATGTTTTCTTTTGCCTTCTGAGTTACACATGTAATGTTCATGATTCTTTTATATAGGTGGTCATTTCATTCATTTTATAATGTCGGAGTTTTCTCCCTTAGTAGGACAACAGTGAAATCATGACTCAATCTTCATCTGTCTAGTGTAATAGTTTATTTATGAGCCCTTTTATGTCACAGAACTTTATCAAATTCAGTATCTCCTTCCCCTCCAACAATTTTTATTCCATAAGAAAATTTTGATTAGTTTAATATAAGTAGACATCAGATTAGATTTACTATAAGCATGACTAATATAACCTGATCGGCATTTCTTTTCATATTTCTTATTTTTCTTCATTCCTTTTCTACAGAAAAAGTGTTAGAATGAAGAGCTCTCTCTCTCTCTCTCTCTATTATCTAATCTACTCGTACTAAATTACTTATTCCATCAGCATATAAAGTCAACTTAATGATTCCATCATCAAGTGTTCTTTATTAAGCTAACGTTATCCGATGTGATAAGTATGAGGCTTATTTATTCCTTCTTTTATTCATATTTCGTACTCTTTTCATTGTAAAATGCGTTTAAAATAATTTTAAATTCAAATTTTAAACTTAGGATTCTAACAAATGATATCTCCCTTGTTGATAACCACCATTGAACTGATAATTGAGTTTAAAAAAAATCGCAAAATTTACATTCATGCAACACAATTCCTATGTAATTACATATTTGACACCAAAATTTTGATATTTACATCAATATCATTTTTTCTATGCATGAAAAAGTGTATTTTGCATTTATAAAAGATTTGAATGTTAGAAATATAAGAATGAGTCTGGCTGTTAGATATGTAAATTCATAAGAGTTGTGTTGTATTAAACAAGTTGAAGAAGTTAGTAGTCACACATAAACACAATATATTGAAGTTGATACATTATTACCCGAATTTTACAATATCATTTTAAGCATCTATACAACCCTGCAATATATTTCCACCAAACCTCAAAACTGTGAATTCCTTACATATTTAACATGAGCTTTTTCTTGATTCTGTGTCACATACATGTGTACAGTATCTACAAGTATGTACAGCATTGAAGAACTTCTTAGGTAGACTTTATCTTGTCCAACCGGAACTTTCTCTGCAATTTTTTTTTTTTATCGATTTAAAGAAAAGTTATTAGCAAAATTTAATTAAAAATAAAATATATGTATGTTTACATACTGACCAAAAGAACATTAATTTCGTCTAAGAAAGGCCTGAGCAATGAGGTCAACATGTGGATATCATCTCTCAAACTGTTGCTGTCTTGCCCGCTGCCCATCAGGAAGCTGGTGAGTTCTTCTTTTTCTGGTATCAGCTTCAAAGCTACCTATCAATTCCCAAAAAATATATGATCTAATAATATTATCAACAATCATTATTATTACAATTAGAACTTTAATGCAAATACTAGGACAGATAAATATTTATGCGCCATCAATTCATGCTCAGATCTATAAAAAACTTAATTTGAAGAATTAGAAATTAATTGAGCAAACCAAAAGAGTAATTGAAAATAAATAAAGACTTTGTAAGCAGCGGAGGAGATCCAGCCATGCCATGGCTTCAATGTGGACTGGTAAGATTCCTCCACTATTTGGTCCAGTCCCCACTCAGGTTCCTTCTCAAGGAACTGCAGCAGCGCCAGGCTAAAATTCATTGACCTGATCACATATATTTCTTCATAAAAATTCAGAAGATTTTGTATTTATTTACTTAAGTTTGGGATCAAATTGTAAAATAAACTGGAAAAAAAGTGGTTTTGATTTTGAGAAGATGACCTGGTTAGCCATAGTATAGCTCTGGAGCAGCTTTCTCGCTTTCTTGCAGTCCCATCTTCCATTTCTTTCTTCAATATCTCACCCAGACTCGAATAACGTGATGGATCCATTAAATATAGCTTCTCCAATCTCTTTATCCAAAACCCCAAAAATTAGAAATTAAAAATAAATCAGTTCTGCATGTTAAACTGAACTTGATTTAAAAAAAAAAAGAAAAAGAAAAAACATGGAGCAAAATATGACCTCTATATTTCTCTTGACATCTTGCCTCAGTACCGCCATTGTTGGCCCAATCTTATCTGAATAATAATAAAAAAAAAGTTCAGATTAAACTTCAGAACTGTAAGAATCGTAGAGAATGAGAGAGAGAGAGAGAGAGAGGAGGGTCAAACCGAGGATATGGAGGAGAGACTTGGAAGGAGCGAGGAAGAGGAGTGTGGAGGGGTTGTGGTCCTCCTGCTTCACTGCTACAGAGAGCTCCTCTGCGGCAGCCCTAATCTCTGTTGTAGGGAACCCATCATCTCTTTTGACTTCTTCTGCTGGTCTCTTCATCTCTCTATCTTTCCCGGTCGCTTCTTTGCTTTCCTTTGAGAGAGAAGAAATCAATTGGAAAGAGGAAAGCTACAGTTAAAATGTGTGAGGTCAAACGTAGCCGCTTTCGTCACTGTTGTTTCAATCCTGAATCAGCCTCCCTCACGTCTTCCATTATTATTACACTACAAAATCTCCTTTCGTCCTCTTCGTCCCCCGTCCATCCACATTTTCTTTTCTTTGTTTTTATTATATTATTATTATTATTATTATTATTAATTTGATGATAAGCTTTTGAAAAATTCTACCAAACTGATATTGTTACAAATATTAAATTGAATGGTATAAATGTAAAACCTATGTAAATACATGGAAACTGGATGGCATGCATGTAAATGACCCTGAAAATAATATTATGATAAATTTATTATCACTTTTAAGTAATTCAATGAGATATTTTAAAAGTTATATTTTATGTACAAGAGATAGTTTAACAAGTATTTTCATGCTGTTTAGTTATGTGAAGGAAAAAAAAACGTTAAAAACAATTTGAATTATTCAAACGACTTGTTTGATCACTACACGACTTGTATGGAGTCCAATGAGACTTGATTATTGGGCACTAGCTTTCAAGCCCGGCGCCATTGATGATTGAGGCAACGCATGTATTAATTAATAGGCAATACATTTATTTTGTATCAGATTTGTGGATTAATTTAACCAGATTTGTTTGGTCAGGAGAGTTTTAAATATTTATCCATTCATGATTACAGTCAAACGTAGCCCCTTTTTACCCATCATATCACCCAATTCCTATACATATTTACATATCAAATATCTAAACTTTCAACTTTTTTTTCTTTTTTAATATCTAACACATAAGTCTTTCATATCATATCAAATATATCACCATTTTAAATTTTTAGTAGAATATACATTTTCATATATAGGTAGGTGATATATGGGGCGGTAAAAAAAACTCGTTGTTCACGAACCTCGTGCTTGACTCGCTATGGAGCTTGAATAATTTTTTTAGCTCACTTTATCAATTAGTTAAACACGGGCAAATTTGTGTTTGATTGTAATTGGTTTGCTATTGCTTGAATTAGAAAAAAATAAATTTAAATAATTAATATAAACAATTATAACTATAAAGTAAAAAATAATTATAAATTTCTTAAATTGAAAAATATAAAATAAATAATAAAAATAATATTATTTTAAGTATTTTAGTCATATAATCATGAATGGATGGCATAGATTAAATAGCTAATTATTTTTAAATAATAAATATTTTAATTGAAAATGCTAATTCTAATTCTCACAATTATCATTTTCCTGTTTACCAAGCCTAACCAGTGGATCACTTCCTAAGCCACAGTTTTCGTTTCAAGGCACTGTTAGGTTTTATGATTTTTTGTTTCATTATGACATGCTTCTGTCATGCATCTATACTCAATAATAGTCTTCACGGATCTTGAGGCAATTGACATTCTACTCCCGACGAATTGGCTATTCTCGGTTGATATCTGCTCTGCCAATGGATCCCAATAGATCCATGAAGTATCCAACAAAACACACCAACACAAACAATTAAAATATATTTTACTATTCTTCTAAAATAAGAATAATATTGTAATTCACTTTTGACCCTTCCATTATCTATAAAAAGGAGCGCCCTTTCATATAAAGGGGCATTTGGCTCTTCTGCTTTTAAACTCTATTTTTAATAGAATAAAATGTGCCCACGAGACTTGGGAACACCCCCATTCTCCCCGAGGTGCCAAGTCCTCCTCTCATCTTCTCCTCCTCTTTTCTTCTCTCTCACACTTTCTTTTGCTTGGGTTCTTACGCTCTATTTTTGGGGGATGATCAATCGGACAGATTTGGATTCAACAATTCCGAAAGACATTTGAGTTTTGTTTATATTTAAGAATAAATAAACCTAATTATTTAATCAGTAAAAATGGCAAAACTAAAATAATAGTAAATAATAATAATAACAGAAACGAACAAAAATTACATATGATCAATATTGCAGATCAGGGAAGATTGTCGACCTGCATTTATATCAAATATTACTGTACTTGCTTGTCTCATCAGCTACGCATGCATCTTTGTCTCCCAAAACTTTACATTATAACAAATCTTTAAGATTTTGACCCCCATGGAAATAACTAATAAATTAAGGAGTATGATAGAATTGAAAGGCCAATCTTCTCTATTTATAAAAGCCTTCTCCCTGTGATCTAAAGTTCATCAAATTAATTAGGAGAAGAAGAAAAAAAAAACAAATAATTGATGGGTTTCAACTTCAATCATTGCTTCAAATCGGCTGCCAAATCAGAACCTGTGAGGTTTAATAGTACTCTCAGTGATCAAACGCTGGATTCAGAGAAGAAGAGGAAGAAGGAGGAGGAGACAATGACGGAGGTGAAGCCATTAAAGATGACGAATGAGAGAGTGGCGATTATGGTGCCTTACATTCCCATAGTTTCTTTCCCAGGCCTTATTTAAGCTGCTTCTATGTGTAACTGGTAGAATTAAATTTATTTTGTGTTAGAAATAATTTGTTTTTAATAATTAAATTTGTTGAAAAGTCAATGTTATGTGAGATATGTGATGTATTTGAAGGTCACCAACTCTACAATCCAATTAATGGAAAAACTCTCATTAGTTGGGATGTGCAATTTAATGAAAAAGGTGCATGGGATTGGAGAACACAAGAGATGAATATATTTTTCTTCCTTATCTTGAAGAGGGGGAAATAAATGAACAACCAATAATTGAAGAGATTATAAAAGAAGAATTACAGGAGCCTATCACTCCATTAATTTCAACAAGAACATATAAAGGATAAACATCTGTCACCTTTTAAGTGAAAGTTCATATTAGAAGACACCATATTTTTTAAAGTTATAAGATATTTATGAGGTAACTAATAATCAAGATGGCATTACTCTCTTTTGTTTTTGGTGAATGTGGACCTTTAAGCTATAAAGATGTAGTGAAAAACAAGAACTGGGTAGATGCTATGAATGATATGTTGGATCTCACTGCATTTCCACAAGGACGCGTCAATTGGAGTTAAATGGGTGCATATAGTGAAGAAGAATGCTAAAAGAGATATAGAGATAAACAAAATATGATTGATGGTTAAGGGATACAATAAAAAATATGACATTGATTATGATGTGGTATTTGCTATTTTTATCATTCTTGAAACCGTCAGACTGATAATTTTTTTGGTAGCTTAATGTGCATGGAAGATCCATCAAATGAATGTAAAGTCGACTTTCTAGAACGAAGTTTTTGAGAAAAGAATCTGTATTGAAAAACCTTTGGGATATGAAGTAAAATGACAAGAAGAAGAAATATTCTATTATTGAAAAGGACTTTATATGGTTTAAAGCAAGCACCAAGAGGTTAGAATACTCGAATAGAAAAGTGTTTAAAAAAAACCAAAATTTTTTGAAGTATTAATTTGAGCATTCACTTTATATTAATGTTCAAAATAAAGAAATTTTAATTGTGTGTTTGTATGTAGATGACTTGATTTTCACATGCAATAATCTAAAAATGTTTGATAAATTCATGAAAGAAAGGACCACGTAATTTAAAATGATAGCCACTGGGCTTATAACATACTATCTCGACATTGAAGTGAGACAAGAAGACATAGACATCTTTACCACTAAAGAAGATTATACTACAAAAGTACTTAAGAAGTTTAAAATGGATGACTCTAATCATTTTAAAAAACTCATGAAATATGGAGTCAGATTATCCAAAAATGATTAAAAAGAAAAGGTAAATCTGACTCTTTATAAAAGTCTCATCGGAAGTATACACTACTTAATTTATACAAGATTAGATTTTACTTATGCAGTAGGAGTAATAATTCATTACATCGAAGCTCCAAGGATAACAATTTTAACATTGTTAAGAGAATACTTTGATATATTAAGACTTACTTTACTCTTTCTCTAACAAATATAAAATTATTGGATATAGTGATGACGTCTGGAATGAACATCTGGATGATAGAAAAAGTGTCACCGGATTCATGTTCTTTAGGGGAGGTACTGTCTTGACTTGGATATCGAAGAAGTAGCCTATTATTACACTCTCAACTTGTGAAATTGAATATGTTGCAGTTATTTCATGTGTTTGTCATGCAATTTAGCTAAATGAATTAATTGAAAGAATTACACTTTCTATAAAAGGTGCTCATCAAGATACATATTGATAATAAATCAAAGCTTGCATTGATAAAGAATCTCATCTTTCACAGTAGAAGCAAGCACATCGACACCCGAGAATATGTTGCAAAAAAGAAGTGGAGTTGAAGTACGTTATTTTTCAAGATCAAATGGACATATATATTTACTAAGCCACTGAAGCAAGAAATGTTCGTGAAGTTCTGAAATGTTTTAGAGTTACAAAACAAGTTTTAGGGAGTTTGTCAGAAATAAATTTTCTTGTGTTAAAAATAAATATTTTTTGAGTAATTAAAACTTATGGAAAGGATATTTTGAAAGGTCACTGCTAGGTGAGACATGTGTGTGTGTGTTAGGCGTGAAAGAATGATTGGCTGAAATTAGTTTGGTTGGTGAATAATATGTGTCGTGTTGATTATTTCTAAATTTGATAAATACTCCATATTTTTATGGGCTATGAATCAAATTTTAAGAAAAGCATTGTGAGCTTCTAAATAGCATTTGTGTTAGTTTGAGAAATTTATATTTTGATTCTAAGTTTATATAAAATTTTATTTTTTTCTTAACACAGTGAAGTCATTAAAGATAACAAATGAGAAGTTGCTCATTATGTTTCTTTTACATGTCTTTTTCGAGTTGTTGTCTACATAAAATCCGCATGCAGCGGTGGAACAGTCTGCTCATTCCAAAAGAAATTGTGTGGATCAACCTTTCCCTTCAACTCGGCCAATCTCCTAAAATTCCCTTTAAAATACATTCTCCCCCAACCCTCTGCAGCCGCCGAGTAACGGCTACTTTTCCCCTCAGCATTCCTTCCCAAATCCATATCCTTGTAGTTATAATAAGCAGCCCTCGGTTCAGTCGAAGCATAAGGAGCCATCAGCTCATACAAACTCTTCATTCTTCTCAGACGCCTTTCTATCCCCCCTCCCTTCTCCTCCTCCGAATCCAACCATTTCAGAATATACTGAATATTGTACAGATTACCTTTTCGATGAGGAAAAGCTATTTCATCCTCTGAAATCTCGCTCATTTTCCCCCCAAATGGTTCCATTATCAGAACAAACCACTCCCCATCTTCATAAGCTTCCATTAAAAATCTCCATATCTTGTTCAATCCACTCCCCGGAATCGATTTCTGAACAAAGTCAGACTTGGCCTTGAACGAACCAGTCGATTCAATTATTTTATTCACCAGAGCCTCAACCGGAAACTTCCCATACAGTCCATTGAAAAACAAAAATGATTCAAGCCAGGTCATTTCCACGCACTCTGAAGCTTTCAACTCGAGCTCCGGAAAGCTCTGCTTCGCCAATCTCAGAACCTCCTTTCTCCCGCCCAAGTACAGAGAACTGAAAGTAAGTTTTATGCTCGCCGTCGTTTCATCCTTCTTTGCCGTCGCCTCAGCGATTAATCTTATGAAGAGATCCACATCCAGCCGATGGCCAATTTCCTGCCAACGCCCTGCCAATTCAGTAACGTTTTGATTTGCAGATGTTCTTACCGCATTAAAAACCGTAACTTTTTCCGGAACTTCAACTAAACTGATCTTGAAAGCCACGATAATGCCGAATCCGGCGGCGCCGGCTCCCCTTATCGCCCAAAAAAGCTCCTCCCCCATCGACTCTCTGTTCAAAATTCGACCTTTGACGTCGACAAGCCGAGCATCCACAACATTATCAGCTGCGGTGCCATATTTTCTAGTCAAACTCCCCATACCGCCGCCACTCACGTGTCCCCCAACGCCGACGGTGGGGCAGAATCCCGCCGGAAAGGCGGCAGTTTTATTTCTTCCGGCTATTTCGTAATAAAGTTGGCCGAGAGTTGCGCCGGCTTGAACCCAAGCAGTGCCGGAGAGTTCTTCGAAGGAGATGGAATGTAGGGCTGAAATGTCAAGTGTTATGAAGGAAGAGTTAGTTTGGTGGGCGCAGTACGACAAGCCTTCGTAATCGTGGCCGCCGCTGCGAGGACGGATGTTGAGGTTTGATCGGGCGGCGCAGATGACGGCGGCTTGAACGTGAGGATCGGATTTGGCGGCGAGGATCAGCGACGGCATGGATGTGGTTGCGGAAAAGAGGAAACGGTTGTTTTTGAGGGAGGAGAGGAGGGTTGAGTGGTAGGATGAGGTGTTGGAGATGGAGATCAAGTCTGAGACATTGGTGAGGTTGTGGAAGCATTGGATGAATGATTTAATGGATTCGGTTTCTGGGTAAGATTGAATTTTTGTTGAAGGCGGGAGGAATGGAAGGGGGAGAAAGGTTAGAGATATGATTAGCAGAAGAGGGGTTATGATTTTTGTTAATGCACTTGATTTTGATGACATTATTGCTGTTGAGGTTCTTCTTCTTCTTCTTCTTCTTCTTCAGCTTTCGTTGCATCTTCTTCTTATATATTTGCTTAATTGTTCTTATTTTCATCGCTTGTTTAACATTTGGTCAAATTAGAAAATTATTTTTGTTAATCCTTTATTTTTTTTTTCGTTTTGTTTTTCTAAAAAAAAAGCTGTTTGCCGGAATTGAATGGGTTGATCGTACGAAAAAAACAAAAAAAGGTATTGATATAAAATAATTCATGATATATTAAAAAAGAAATTTTTTTGGGGAAGGTTTAATTTTTCAGAATATTTTTTGAGGATTTGTATTTTAGTGCGGCCTAAAATGAGGAGTTGAATTTGTTATTTGTCCATTATTTTGAGGTGGGTTGTGTTTTTGTGTTGTTAATCATATTTTATGTGTCTGTAATTCAAATATATAACCAGTAGAAATTAGCGGTGGTTGTTTTTCTGTACTTTCTCGTAAAGTTATTCGACAAAATGGAGCTCTCAAGTCTTAATTGATTAGAGGATTGGTCTCCGAATAATTATTCTAATATTATAAATTTTGATTTTCTCGGTCGATACTATTTTGCTTGTGGCACCTTTTGTATGTCATTGCCACAGTAAATCTAATAACACAAATTATTTAGGGGCATTTACATCCATACCACACAATTCTTTCATATTTATATATTTAACACCTAAAAATTCATATTTACATGCATACCACTCAAATTTTTAGCATCACAATAACACGTGTTAGATGTGTAAATACCTAAAAGTTGTGTGGTACATATGTATGTAAATTTTCCTTAATTTAATTTAAGTGGATTGGCTACAACCAATAAGGAATGTCAAAAAAATAATCATTTTTTTACAATATAAAAGATATCATTTTTTAAATATCATATAAACTGAAATATTTAATTAGTGATCATTACTGCATTCAATTAAACAAACAAATTTTTTATGCTGATTCCTGAACCTTATAAAAATGAATTTTCTAACCCCCAACAATTATATTTTTACCTTTTTCATTTTAAAACTATATCTTCCCATAATTCCGGAGCTAACAACATATTATCTAAATTTTTTTCTACAGAAAAGCACATCGGTTCAGTTATCTTCCTAAACCAATTTTTTCATTGAGAAGATGATAGCCGAAGATTTAGATAAAAAACTCACCTTCTGCAAACTCTTCTTCTCCCTTCATCCGATCAACCAACGCCAAAACCATTTCATAAATCTCTCTTGTCTGCAAATGAGACTTATCCTCACACACAAACACTTTCCTTCCTCCTTTCACCTCAATCCAACTGCAACCCGCCTCCTTCCTCAATCCCCTCCCCTTCATAACAACCCTAACCTTCCCTGCCTCATCCCATTGTCCAGCAGCTGCATATATATTCGACAGCGTCACATACCTCGCTCCATTCTCCGGCTCCAGCACAAACAGCGACTCTGCAGCTCTCCTTCCAAGCTCCATGTTTCCATGAGCCCGGCAAGCACCCAGCAAGGCCCCCCACATCCCCACACTGCCTGACCTTCCATCAGATTCCAAGCTCTCTATCACCTTCATCGCCTCCTCAAGCCGCCGCATTCTCCCAAGCCCATCAATGAGAGCAGAGTAGTGTTCATCTCCAGGGAAAACCTCAAACTCTTTCTCCATTAATCTCAAAACTTGGCGGCTCTCTGTTACCAGCCCACCATGGCTGCAAGCCGATAGCACGCCCAGGAATGTTACATGGCTTGGCTTTATTCCAACCCGCAGCATTCTCTTAAACACATCAAAGGCCTCCGTGGCAAGCCCGTTCTGAGCAAACCCTGTAACCATGGAGTTCCAAGAGATGACATCACGAGCAGGCATGCGATCGAAAACTACTGTGGCTGACTCCATGTCGCCGCATTTCGCATAAAGGTCGATAAGCGAGTTCTGAGTGAAGATGTTGAAGCAGAAAAAATCTATAAATCTTCGAAGCATGTAGCAATGAAGCTGCTTTCCTCGATCGATGAGTCCTAATCGCGCGCAAGCACTCAGCAATGATACGGAAGTGAAGGGAGTGGGGCGGATACCCTCTTCAAACATTTGCTCGAACAGGTTGACTGCAACTTCTTCCTGCATGTTTTGTTCGAAGCCAGAAATAAGAGCTGTCCATGAAACTGCAGTGCGTGATGGAGCGCTGAGAAAAACTCTGTAGGCGTCCTCAAGCCTGTTGGCATTCGTGTAGGCTGTGATCAAGGAGGTCCATGAAACAATGTCCTTCACAGGCATTATATCAAACACCTGTCGAGCGGCGTTGGGATGACCGCACTTCCCGTATCCATCAATGAGTACGTTTGACATTATAGAATTCAGCTGCAACCCGTTGGAAGTAATAGCGCCATGTAGCTGACGAAGAGAATGGAGATGAGCCAAGCCTGTGCAAGCTGGAGCAATACCGACAACAGTGAACTTATCCATGCCAATACCTTTCCTTTGCATTTCAGAAAAAAGTTTGAGGGCCTCATGGTGCTTCCCGTGATGGCTAAGTTTCGAAATCATGGTGTTGTAACTGACAATGTTTCGCTCAGGCATTTCGTCGAATAGCTGACGTGCCGAATCGAGAAACCTGAAGTCGCGAGAGAAGGCGGCGAGGAGGGTGTTCCAGGATTGGTGGTTTTTGAAGGGAAGGTCGTCGAAGGAGGATATGGAGCAAGGCAGAGAGCCGCATTTGGCGTACATGTCAATGAGGCGGTTGGATAGGATAGTGTGAAGGTGGAGCGCGGTCTTGAGAAGGCGAGAGTGCAGAAGACGGCCGAACTTGAGATCTTTGGTGGAGATGCAGAGCTCGATGTGCGACAGATAAAGTTCGATGGTATCTCCGTCGGTGGCTGTCATCGTGACGCCGGCTGCGTTGCTGGATGGCGAAGCTACGCATTGCTCGGCTCCTGCTCCGGCTCCGATTTATTTTTTCATGCATAAGGGGCGATGAAGTTTAGTTGATCGCGTTTGGTAGTTTCCTACTGTGATTCAAGCTCCAAGTATATGCCAATGGATTTTATTAAAAAGGAAAAAAAAAATTGTGGAGACATTCAAAAACATCGCATAAATTTTATGCATTAAGATGTGCTCTTAATACTAATATGTATACATCATTTGCTTGGAGATCCTCTCTTCCCTCGGGCGAAGGTGGGACCTCACTTCCGGAGGATAAAATTGACTCCCCTCACAAGAAGCTGGGCATAGCAGAAGCGGCTTTGACTGCCCTGTTACTCCCAGGCACCGCACGTAAAATTGTATATGGTTTCCGATCTCTATCGTTTATCACAGTAAATATATATTTTGGTAGGCCTTGTATTTATTTTTTTGAAATCCATTAAAATACATATTTGTTGTGATAAATGGTGGAGATTTGTATGAAATAATTTTTCCTCGGGCAGGGGGAACAAAAGAAGAACCTCCGACCTAGGGATAAGGTGATTACCCATGCCAGAAAATCTCCAGAAAATCTCTTGATTTCCTCAACACTGAACATTCCTTCTCATTCTTTAATCTGAATTGCCATTTCAACACAGCTTTATCATCATGAACTCTGGCGTTTTTATGGAAATTGATTTTATGTTATGTATGCTTTCCTTCACTTTGATTATTTCCGATAATATTATCAGAAAAATGCATAGTTATGATATCAGCCGGAGAAGGGCCATGTGTGTAAAATAAGCTGAATGTTTTGCAACCCAACCACTCCACCCCTTCCACCAACCCTGTTTGTGGGACCTCATGTTTTCTTTGCGGGTTATCATTTCATTTAACTTTTGCTTGGGACAATTACCTGTTCAATATTCATATTTAATGTATACCAAATTTACATACATACCACTAAATTTGTGTGTATTTACATATCTTGCATTTAAACTTCTATGTTTACATTATATAGTGAATTTAATGAATGTTTACCTGCTAATGGGACATATTTATAATAAATTTCAGCTTCACAAAAGAAAGACATTTTTTTATTTGTTGGTCTATTAAATAATAATCCTTTCCTTAATCTAAAAGCAGAGCGCTGGGTCAACAGTATTTTTACGTGCACCTCATTAGCTAATCCCCAATCCAAGAAACAAACAAGTAATTTATACTTGAATTGTTGAAAACTTGCACCCAACAAAACCACGTCCCTTTCATCTTTATAAGAATTTGACCGTTTGTTCCTCCTTACAATTATTTGAGATTGAAGTTTCTATTCTTTTCTGCATTAAAGCAATCCTTTTTAATACATTAATTGTCGTGCCATGTCATTTATAAAAGTAGCATATTAGAATGAGATGTGTGCTGATCATGGGTTAATATGATATATTTACAGGTAAATGCTAAAAATAAAAGAGATATAGAAAAATAGAAAGGGGCAAAAGTTCTCATATCTGATCCTAATATCTTAATATTATTCATTTATCTTTCCAACTCAATATTAAACACATATTGGGATATCTTAATGCAGAGTTTTCTTTCCCACAGTCCCATCAAGCCTAGTGTGAGCACAGTTTGGCTTAAGTTGAACACAAAAGAGGCAGCAAGTTAGCAGTTTCGTGACTCCTTCAACATCCCTTGTCTCTTTACAAGATAAACTTTGTCTCATTTGCCTTAACAAAATCCTTCAAGCTGAACCATATTCTCTCTCTCTCTCTCTCTCTCTCTCTCGCTCTCCAGAATCCTTCAATCTCTAATGTAATATTGAAACTCTAAGCTTGCACAACGTTCAGTCCAGATTATGGCCAAGTCTATATTGGGATGCTTCCTCTTTTCATCTTGTTACGACCAGATCAATTCAAGTCGAATCTCATCGAAAGATCTTGATGCCTTCTACTATTCATATTCAGAAGATCTCAGCCAACTCAGTAAGTCTTTTTCGATCGGCTCTATCTCTCTTAATTGTTCCATCGAAGCCATGAAAATTCTTAAGAAGATACAAGTTGAGCTACTCATTCTGATTAAGAAATCCAACCTACTGATTTGCTCTGGAACTGAAGAAGGTGATTGGTTCAGTCAATACATGAAAGATAGCATAACAATGTTAGATTTCTGCAACTCTCTCAAGTTAGCTGTTTCGAGAATTGATCGATACCGTATATTGGTAGATATCATGATCAATAAACTTAACAAAAATTATTCATCAAAAATTATAGAATTTGAGAGCAAAAAATATTCAAACTTTAATACTGTGGAAGAAACAATCAAGCAATGTGAAGGAATCAGTGTTGAAGATGAGAGTAACAATTCTATCATGGTTGTTGTATCAGTGCTTCTTCATTCAACAATTGTTTCTAAAGTTTCAATTGAATTAGGTGGTTGTGATTTAGCCTCTAGATGTCCCCAATTGAAGCCATTTATCGAAATGCTTTCGATGCTTGTTCGAGAGTTTAATGAAAGAGATTTTGTTATCAAAAACGGCTCGGGATCAGAGCTTGTCGAGCATGACATCGTGAGGAGAATGATGGTGGATATTCAGACTCAGGTGATGGATGGAATTGAGGATAAGGAGAGGTACTTAAGCAGCTTAAAGTTGTTGAGGACAAGTTTAATTGAGCTTAAGGAAGGGATAGAGAAGCTTGATGATGCTGTGGATGATGTCTTTGATGTTGTAATTAAAGGGAGGAATGAAATGATGGGAGTTTTAAGGAATAGGGATTTTGTAAATATAGAATAGGAAAATGTAAAATTGAAGTTTACATTTTGTAAATATAGACAATTGCTTAAGTGTGTTTTTGTATTTTTCTTTCTTTGTAAGGAAATTGAAAAATCAGATTGTTATGTATGAATGTTTGCAATGTGTATATTTACAGAATAATATTTGCTTGAATCATTTAATATGAGGTTTTCTTAATTCTTTTTTCAGTGATGAAATTTACAAAAATAAGAGGCCAAAGTCATTGATTATGAGCTTAGCCCTCAAATATATCAAAACATAAATTCAAAAGGCATTCTTTATATGAAATAATAACCCTCAAATATATAATACATGATGAGTTTTTTATTGACGAGTCTCAATATAGTTGAACAGTACACCTCAATTGGGCATCAAATGTCGACGAGTGATGTAATGTTAGGTGTGGAACCTGATGGGAACACCCATGAGCAATAGGTAGGTTGGCTTTCCCGCAGAAAGTGCTCCCAGCGCCTTGGCAAGGCGCCGGGCTATGGGCCCTCAAGCGCTCATTGGGTGTTCAGATGGAGATGTAGGTACAGAAGACCGGACTCCTCTTCAAGTGGGAGATTGTTAGGTGTGAACTCTGATTGGAGCACCCATGAGTAAAAGGTAGGCTTGCTTTCTCGCAGACTGTGCTTATGGCGCCTGTTCAAGCGCTCATTGGGTGTTCTCAAACCTAGAAGGTGGAAATCCTATGCCCATTTTGGGCCTTTGGCACCCAATGTGGGAGCTTAGGCTCTCACTTCCAGTGCCAGGTCGCTAGCTACCAGAGATCTCGGTGCTTAGGCGCCAAGACGCCTAAAACAGTTGGTGACAGGATTATAGTTTTTGCTCCCTATTTCAAGCTTTTTTTGTTGAGTTTTATTGTTTGTTTCTTCTGTATTCTTTGACAAGTATCCTGGTGAAGGTGAGAATTGTCGAAGATATGGATCCAGTTATTCGGAGTGATTTTTTCTTCGGATCTAAGAGGGAAGAATGTTGATGCAAGTCTTGTAAGTTTCTTCGTGTGAGTGTGGAGATAAACTTGTGTGAGTCTTTTGTAAAACTTTTTGAATTACATAGTAAAATTTGTGGTGGTGTGGTTTCCCAATATTTTCTCATTTTCAAACTTTTTCATATAAAATTTTTGTATGTTTCTCTGATTACGTTGATTGTGTTTTCTCATTTTCAAACTTTTTCATATAAAATTTTTATATGTTTCTCTGATTATGTTGATTGTGTTTTCTTAAATTTTTATTCTATTATTCTCGAACCTTGTAATTCTATTCCTTTGTCATGTAACATGCAGAGGCTGGTTGATAAAGAACATCTCAGTTGATGTGATTGAAGGTTGACTTAGCCGTTCACTTGGTAGGAAGAAAGCTACATCAATAATAATGAAGTATTTAACTTTAATGATTGATGGATGTTAGCCATTAGTCAGCGATTTATTTATCACGATAGCGCATCCTAAGCTGAAAATTTTAAAAAGAAAAAAATGACTGATTTGACCTTTTGTTTCTGAAGCTGCCATCCTCCTCCTATGGCCTCGGCTGCTTAGTGGCCATGGGAACAAAGTAAAATTGAGAGTAGAGTGAAGAACCTTTTATATTCACTTTGCTCCTCTGTTTTATTTTGCTCCCAATGCCCACTCAACAGCTGAAACCGGAGGAAGACGATGGCAGCATTAGAAGAGAAGACGCATTCAATTAGTTTTTTACTTCAATTTTTAATTGTTCCTGTAATACACATTTCTTATGACACGAAAGTGTTATAAGTGTAGAAATCAAACTTTAAATACATAAAAATTGTATGGTATAGCTTTGTCTACTTCTGTTTATCATAACCTGCTCAAAACATCAAGCAGATTTAGCCTTCACATATTAATTTATGTTTAATATAACTTAACAACATTTTTCAAAACACCTCTTTAACATATTTTTGTAGACATATATTCGAGCATATTTTTGCTTGATCTGTCATCAACAAATTTTTATCGCGCACGAATCACGATCCATATTTGATAAAAATATTCTCCAAATTCAAATTCAAGTTCAATGAGTTGTTAGAAACGGTGGAGCCCGGTCCACTATGCTGAGGCGGTACTTTGCTTTGGAGAGTCACACCTCTTCACAAATAATCACTCTCGCTTTCATCTTTTGTGAAGTGAAACATCTCTTCGCTCTCTCCTGTTCGTGATAAAAGCTTCAGATGGCTTTCTTTGGGTTTAGAACTCACGCTTTGAGTTATTCTTCGGTTTCCTCGGGGTAGAGGAAGGTTTCCTCAGGGCAGAGGAAGAGAAGTGCAAAGAGGACCAATTTCTTGCGGCAGAAGGAAGAAGAAGATTATTCTTTCTAGGCTTCTTCTTGGTGGCTTGTGGCAGAAGAAAAATTGGGTTTATTTCTCTTGTAAGTTTGTCTTCTTCGATTTATCTTGGTGTAGAGTTTCTTCGGTGTATCTCGGTGTAAAGAGAGAAGTACAGAGAGAGAAGAAGAGAGAGAGTCACGAAGAGTGAGAGATTCCTCTTGTAAGTCGAGGTGATCGGCTGGTGTAAATTGCTCAAGTAGTAAAATCTTCTACAACTCCGTGGACATAGGCAATTTACCGAACCACGTACATCTGTGTGTTTCGTTGTGTGTGTTCTTTTCTGGTGTGAATTTTTCTCGTTCTACTTTTTCGTTTCTTCAATCGTTCTCATGTTTGATTTATATATATATATATATACCACATCAACTGGCGTTTATCTAGATCAAGCAAAAACATGGGTCCATATTTTAGCAAATTTATAGTCCAGTCGATTTACTCGACAAGACACCCAATGTTGTAAAAAATAGTTCAATCCGAGTTCAATCAAACCCATATCATGTTATTGAAGCACGTTTAGATAATTTGGATAGTCAATTGAACCGTCGAATGAAACACCAAATTGACTTATTTTAAATTAAATATTGTGTATTGACGAGAGAAACACAACAAACCCAAGATATCTAAATTCTTCATTAAAGCACCCAAATCCTTAAAATACTACGTATGATTTATGAGAATCAATATAGATCGTTTGATCGAGTTATTAAGGAAGTTAGTCATCAAAGAACTTGTAAAATGTCCCTCCATAGATGCTATAGATAGACCTCCTCTCTTTTCTTGGGAGAAAAGGGTATATATGAGAGGAACAAGAATTACAGAGCCTATTTTGGAGAGAATTTTGAAAGAAGATGATACATATAAGCCTCAAGTTGATATGTAAAGGCCTTTTTATAGTGAATATGAGAGACTAATAAAGGAGATGAAAACTATAATAAAAGCATTAATAATGCGAATATATCATCAAAATGAAAATTAGAATTTCCTATTGTTAACATTACACACTTGTGCTGGTATTTATATGGCAATTAATAACTTTGATCTTTCTTTATTTTATGGCAGTGAATAATTAAATATCCCACCCACGGATTCAATCACACTTTTTTTTTCAAAATATTTATCACTGCTTGTTTATATGCACGTGTAAAAAATATGTATATTTATGAATTTATATTAGAGTGAAGTGGCAGCATCATTTGCCAATTTTGTGGAGATTCCTTAATTAATGAAAAAGAAAAAAAAAGCTATGGTAGCTGTTTCTATCGCCATTTAATTCATGATTTGAGATGGATGTGCCATAAAAATTTAAAATCTTCACCATTACCTGCAATTTGGCACACATCACCTTCTTTTTTTCTTTCAAGAGCACCAAACTCAACGAACGTGGACAGCTCGGGAAGAAGATGCGGCCGATTGAACATAGCCTTTGACGATCATTTTTTGGCTCCAACAGAAGTGTCTTGTTCGAACCATAGATGGAAGACATTGGGACAAGCTCATATAAAATGGCAATCAGCCTTCAGGTTGATCGACAGACAGGGAGCACTCTTTCAGGATAGATTTCAATCGAATAAAAACTTACTAGAAAATCGACAACTCTTATCGATACAATCAATATCTGATCTTATTAGCTTCAAAGTTTTGTTGTGAACCAATGATGAGGAAAGTAATATGTATTTTTATAATGTTGTGATTTTTGCCTATAAATTGTGGTTCATGTGATTAATAAATGACGCTCATTTTTATTGTTAGTTATTGTGTCATCTCTTTATATGATTACTTATGAGAGTAGAATATTCTTATTCTTTAGATATATTTTGGGACACTTTTGGAATCAACATAAGTTAAATATTGTAGGAGTAAATATGAAGAGATGGATTTTAGGAGAAGAAACACTCTTTTTATTTCCTTTACTAATTATTCCGTTAAGCTGAAAAAAATATTACAAGTGACATATGTAATATATTTACGTTAGCCAGGTCACAGAACTGTCAAGGTGAGGGAAGCTCGTTGTTTTAATTCTGTATGTTGAAACTTATAATCTCATTGGTAAATTTATTAAAAATAAAAAACCAAATAATCCAAAAATTTTAATATTTAAAATTTCTGCAGCATGAACACGGAACTCTTATAAAAATGTAGCATAATAATTTAAAAAATCCAAAGCATTTAATTGAGCCATGCTCTATCCATTATTTTTTAACAAAATCCGCTACATCTGTTGACCTAATACGGTCAGGCTTCGCGGCCGACCTCATTTATAAAAATTCTAACTTTACCCTATCATCATTCAAAAGCTCCCGTCTTTATTACGGATTCTTCCAAAATTCTCCAGCTAAACAAGCTTTCTATAATGGCCAAGAAGAGATTTTTTAAAAAAAAAAACTTGAGCGGAACAGTGAACTCTCCTGTCCACGAAACCTTGGCGGCGTCTTATCCCTTTTCAAGATCCCGATTTGAATGGCTTATAAACTTTAAGATCGGAAACTATGCCGGCGACGGATCCAACAGCGGCGGCGAGCGAAATGACAAGACAAGCAAAGCTCAGCATTTTTAAACAGACCCATCTCAAGCTCCATTGACGCACCTGCTTCTGAACTATATACATCTCTACCGGAAAGTAAACGGTAAGCGGCCAAAATCCAATTGCGCCCAGCAAACCAACAACGTCGTTGAAGAAAGGAAGAAGCATGGAGATCACTGTAGTCAGCACGACAAAAGCCGAACGCCATACCAGCCGAAAAAGGTTTAGCTTATATGATTTGGTGGAACTCAACGGGATTCTGATCTCCTTGGAGATAAATTTGGAGTCCGGCCATGCCCGATTGGCCCATTTCTCGACGAACGCAAACAGAGGCTGGCAGAAGACTTGGTAAGCTCCGATGAGGTGAATAACAATGGCTGCGTTTGCTATGTCGAGCAACCAGAAGGGGTTGTAGAAACCGAAGCCGGTGAGAAGGTTGCCAGGTGCGGAGTCTCCAAAGGCAGCGTAGCCCATGCAGCCACAAAGCATGTAGAAGAAGGTGGTTACAGCCACACTGAATAATGTCGCTTTCTTCATTACTTTGGCTTCAGATGGCGGCGGGGCTTTCACTGTGTCCTGTAACAGAGGAAGACAGCACAGATTATGTTTGACTGAATAGAGGAAGGTTTGTTGTAATGGTTTGATTTGAGGTGAGTACTTGAATTTCGATAAGGATGATGGAGTAAGAATATGCGAAAGCGATGTCTCCGAGAGCTTGGAGGCTGTGCCAAATCTTCTGAGTTTGGCTCACCGAGCCGATCCTGATTCCAGTAAGACTGCCTTTGAATCTACCGTTTTCTGCTTGAAACAGGGGAAAAAAAAAAGAGTTTTTTGAACTGTTTTATTAACAGAGCTTGCGGGGAGTAGAGATTGATGAACAAGTTTGAGTTTTTACCAATAACTTGAGCAATGCCGAGGGCAAGACCGATGGAAGAGTAAGTGAATGACATAACTGCAGCTACGATTGAGAGCCACCAAATCTGATCAAAGTCGGGAATTTGAGAAAAGATGATCTGTACAGCACCGAAGATGATCATGTATGGATTGCTTGAAATATGACATGGGCTCTTGTGTCCTTTGTCATGGAAGCAATTTGATCTCCGAATAGCCCTGTGAAGAAGCTAAGAAGTTAGTTTAATTTAAATGATAAAAAACGTAACTTTTAGAATTGGATCAGCAGCTTCAGGCTTCTCACGTCATGCTGATGGAGGAAGCAATGGTGTATCCAATGGCTACTCCAAAGAGATTAAGGTATTGTATGAATCCGCAGAGTTTCACTTTCATTCCACCTGAGACAGTGTTTATATATAAGAGTTAGATCAAAGCTGGGAGCTTTTGAATTATTAAGGATAAGCGAAGGGGACCAAACCGAGATAGGAATGAACGGCTTCACTGTAAGTGTAATTGCGCTTGCCGGTGGTGGGATCGCCGGTTCTGTAACAGTCGGCGAGGAGAGAAGAGGTGTAGAAGATGACGAGGGAGAAGATAATCATGACAATCGGACCGGCGATCCATCCGAGCTGTGCGATAGCCCAAGCCAACGATAGAACGCCGGAACCGATCACAGCAGTGATGATATGTGCACTTGCAGTCCACACAGTTCCTGTAAATAAAGATTCAATTTTTATTTGTTAATGCTTCTCTAGCTCCTCTGAACGAGAAGAATCATAAACAGAAGAGAAAGAAGAAGCTATTTTTACCGGTTCTGTTGATGCGGCCATCGTCGTCGAAGCCTTTGATTCCTTCCTGTTTCTGTGGCTGGTATTGTTCTATAGAGATTTCCATGTAAGAAAAACAGATGCAGCCGAGTAATAATCCTGCGCAGTGTTAGTTAAGCTCCAAGGATCGAAAAAATTGGCGGTTTTGGGGTTTTGGGCGATTTTCTTTTATAGAGGTGGAAATCAGAAACGTGATGAAATGCTATGCGAATCCTACCGTTCATTCAGTGATGGTGCCCGTAGGCCGGTCAATGCAAATCCTATCAGCAGTGTTTCTCTCTCTTGCCTACCTCCACTTGTACAGTAACGTGCAGTGGCCCAGTGAAGAAGAAACAGGGAGGAAGTGGTGAGAGGAGAGACAAATTTTTTAGAATTTGTTAAAAAGAAATCATTTGGGATGAGAAAAACGCTGTGCAATTTTCTTTAATTTGTTCAGAAATTTTGTCATTGAAGTTCAGATCAAGCCGAATCAAGTTAAAATCAAGTCATTAAATCATTTTTTAAAAGTTTTCTAAGTATATTTGAAAGATCAAATGAATATCGAATCTAACGAGATTATAGTCGATTCGAACATCTTGACAAAACGAATCAAACGAGCTTAATATCGCTCATTTCCTATATTGTTAAGACACTCAAATGTCCATCAAATATCGTCTAATCAAAGAAAATTTTCTTAATTTTTCAATCAAAGTGATTCATATTCATGCATTAATTGCACCCAAAATTTCTTAAATAGAACTCCACCCCTCTCATAAGGGGAAAGAATAGCCTGAAGCTTTGAGAATGAGCTGAAGACCAGCACCACCATTGTCGAACGCTTTTGACCATCATTGACCTCCATCAACCATTACTGACCGTTATCGTTTTCGCCAATTGTCGTCGACCATTGTTGACCGCATTGACTACCACTGACTTCCATCAACCACTGTCGATCGTCAACGATCATCACCAATCTCAGTTGATCATCATCAATCGCCGTCAATCACAGTCAACCATCACCGACCGGATGCCGCCAATTGCTATTGGTCTACATAGGTTCACAGCAATAAGTTCATCAGCGCATTGACGTAGTAACTTGAGAAACCTAGCAACAATTTCTCGTATGTGGGATAAGGGTCTCCGTAATCATCAATATAAATTAGAGTTTTATAATTATGTCAATCCTCGTGATTTTTTCTCTTTACTAAAAATTTATGGTGTCTCAACTGTCTGTTTTCTTTTATCTAAATATGTGTTGAATATTCAAGCAACGCTAAAACGATATTTCATTACTCTATCACCTCAAATTTTCTAGGATGCGACACACATGTTGCTTTTATTTTTTGATGCATAGAACTTCAATCAACTTTTATATTCAACAATAATTAAGTACTTAAAAAGCTATTTCATGAATTTTAAGCGTCAATGATTATGATCATAAACTAATCAAACAATTGTTTGAGATTACTCATTAATAATTAAATAATTATAAGAGTTCAAACAAATTTATTTTGTCAAACGATTATGAATGTGATTTATTAATTAAGTTAATCTACGAGCAACTCATCAATCACTTAATCAATTTACCGGACTAAACTCGTAAGATTAGATTTTATTCAACTTTAGAGACATTTACATCCATACCATCTAATTCTTATGCATTTATATATTTCATAATTTTAATAATAATGTAATTAATCAGGATTACATCCGAGTTGAAGAGACGCGTGCTCATCGGAGTCAAAATGTAAGAAGAGACTCGCTTTTCTGTTTTTGACGACAGTCCCCACTTATTTGGTCGGCCAAATCAATAAATAAGATGGTGTTTCCTTCCACGTCGCCCATTTGCTGACGTGTCTTCAATGCTGCCGCAGAGTCGTCGTCGGAGTCAAGTTTTTGGGTGGCCAAAACCAACCTCCATCTCTTTGCATTTTCAACGCGAATTTAAAAGCACTTGGGAGAATCGCCACGTTTGGAATAATATATAAATAGAAAAAAGTAATAATATTTTTTTTTTCTTTAAGCATTTTTTTTTTACCAATAAATATTCAAACTCTTAGGAAGAGTAATCCAAAACTTCGATTTCAACAAAATTATACTCAAATTAATTGACTCGATGAGACGAACTTATCAGCCAAAGTTGGTTATATCAGAGCCAAATCAACCCCTGTCAACCACCATCGGCTGTCATCGATCATCGCCCGCTAACTCTAGCTAACCGTCACTGACCACCAACCACCATCACTTGTTTTGAATAAATGGTGATTTTAACTAAAAAATAATTAAATAATAGATTTAGTCAATTTGCTCGACTCCTTCAGTGCCACTTTGCCTCGATCGGTCATCTCATACCAATCGACATCACTTACGTCTCGATCGACCGCCCAAGAACGTCGACACCAACCGACATCACTTTAAACAAACTTTCATAGCGCTCGAGCTAACATCCCACACTTATACTTACGATATCAAAAATTGATAACACACTCCCCTTTTTTATTGTAGTCCCTAACTACAAGGAATCAAATTAAACCATATTAAATATAAAAAGATGACAATAAATCAAGTCATTTAAATATTTCTTTTTTTCTTTGGTTATTTAAACGGAATCTCATCATGAAGTAAAGTCAACTTTATTAATATTAAAAAATTAAGAAAAACAATGACAGGAGCTCTGAACTATATTAATTCATATGAATGGAATCTTATTTGCATCTCCATCCGAACTCTCTCTTATTGAATATTCATGCGAAAATAAATAAATCCAAAAATTCCTTTTTTTTTAGGTGTTTGATAATAATGACGTCAGCTTGAAGAATAGCATATAGAAGTTTTTTTCCTTCAAGGATTAGCTAACATGATGTCAACTTATAAAGTAAAATTACATTTGACACCCCTAATATTTTGATTATGCCACTTCAAAAAAAAAATGGATTGATAAAGATATTTTTTAAAATGAAATAAAATATTTGAGTGCTAGAAATGTAAGAAATCCAAGTCTAAATGGTAGATATGTAAATGCATATGAGTTATAGAGTATTTATTTAAATGCCCCAAAAATTAAAAAAAATATTTTTATATACATTTACTTGAATGGTATAGCAAGGCTCATGATATTTCTGGTCCTAAAGTGCTGCCAATATTGACAGAACACTCCTTTGAACTTTAAGGGGTTGAGACATTTATGGTAGATATAGCACTTTATGACTTCATACTAATTCATGTGGTTGTGATCATTCTCTAACGATATCGTATACACCAAAGTTGTCAGCGCGGATCTCAAATCAATCAAACGGCTCAGATGACGGCCATACGATTTGGGCGTCCTATCGTCTTTCGACCAACCGCATAATTAAGAATCGACTAGCACGCTATGGTGAGAGATTCGAACGACATACCACGCCCGCAGTCCCAATTGGCAAGAACGCAGAAGTGAACTCCTAATCCCGGCCAATCGGCCAACCCACTTTTACCACAGCAAACGAGATCACCACTCGACCGGGTGCCTCGGCCGACCAACTCAATGCGCAATCTTTACTCAGAAGGTCGCCTCAGAGTCAAATTCAAGCAAGTCGTTCAGCCAATTACCGACAAATTAGAATTCCAATTGTAATACAAATATGATATGAAATATATATAATTAATTCAAACATATTAGAATTCCAATTTAAATGCTTGTCTAGCCTTGCCTAGATTCATACTAAGGGAGGACCGAACCAATCGACCACATAATGTCATTTGATTAATCAATCGCTCTACTCCAGTTCAACAATCCCATAATGTGTCGTCTCTTCTTAACCACCCTAAGGAGCCGGCCCTTCGGTGGTTAAACAATCTGCCAACTAAAACCATCCCAAGTTATTACGAGTTTAAGAGATTGTTCGTTTCACACTTCTCAAACTTACATAAGCCAAGGAAACACTTGAACACCCTTCTCTACCTTGAACCACGGAAGGGCTCACCAAAAATCAAGCATAAATATTTTGAAGAATAGATAGCCAAAATTCATGAATTAATATTTTTCCATTTCAACTTTTTAAATTTTATTTTCTTTTTTGAAAGTGGGGCATATGCTCCCAAGGAAGTTAAAGGTTTTAAGGTCCCAACCGCTCAAAACGGATTCAACGGACGAGATGAGCTCTAGTTAAGCTGTCCAATAATCATTTATCATGGTAATTGGAGAGGATTCCAATCCCCAAAATAAAGCTTCAAAATGATGTAAACTAGTTCAATACGAAGGAAACCACTTGAAATTCTTAATTTGCAGTTAAGACAATAGGAGAGGAGTCAAAGGTTTTAAGGTCCAGAAAGTCATAAATTGAAAAGCAGAAAGAAGAAAAAAAGACTCATTTGCTCAGTAGTTGTTCTACAGACCAAAGTTTGGAATCTGAATTTTATAGAAGTCAATAAAGATAACTTAGAAACAAGGACATAAAGTTGAACCAAAAAAGAAAGGAGCGTTTATATATTTCGCACCTAAACTTGCATATTTACACACATAGCACTCAAATCTTTAATATCACATCAAATATGGCATTATCATCATTTTGAAAGAGTGAAATACAATATGAAAGCTTAGATGTGAGATATGTAAATGCATAAGAATTGTGTGCTATGTATGTAAATTTACCATCTTTTTTATATGTACCCTTAAGCCATTGAGAGGGTATGTCGATGAGGAACAGGAAATAACTAAGAGGTCACCTTAAGAAGTCATAATGGAGAGCTCCTTATGTCCTCCTAATTCTTGCACACCGAAAGGACATGTTGTTGAATGTCGTCATTTTGAGTGATGAAAGGCTCAAAAACAATAGTAATATGTCATTACTATTCATATTACTATTGATGCACGCTAGAAAATCTCTGGCGGTAGAGTAACAGATTATTGTCTTAGCATTGTACGAAAATTCAACACACACACTGATGAAAGAGAAACAAGCAGTGTTGACTCCAGAAGTTTTTACGTGAAAAACCCGGAGAAGTAAAAACCACGGGACATGACCCAATTGCAAAAATTTACTATTGATTAATGATTATGAAAATCTCTTGTCCCACAAATGGAAAATGAAAAACTATATTTTTTAAATTACAGCGTTGATTGTCTGCGTCTGGTTGATAGTAATTGATGACGATTGACAGAGATCAACGAAGGTCGGCGGTGGTCAAAGACGAGAGACGATGGCCGACGGAGATCGGCTGCGGTCAACTGCAGTCGACGGGGCTTGACGATGGTCGAAGGAGGTCGGCGGTGGTCGGCGATGATGTTGAGCTGCAGCTCCTTCTCAAGGTTTCAGGCTCTCTAGGCTTAAGCTCCCTCCTCATGAGAGAGGAGGGGCTCTATTTATAGTGTTTTGAGTACAATTAATGCAGGAATATGAACCATTTTAATCGGACGGTCCGGAGAGCTTCCCTCAATCAAACGGTGATTAATGGGCAATTGGGTGTCTTAATTATGTCGAAATTAATTGATCTTGAGCTCATTGGATTCTTTTTGTCGAGACGCTCGATTCGACTATAAGATTGCCAAATTTGGCATATGTTTGACTTTCCAAATGTGTCCGAAAATCTTTAAATAAAGTTTTAATGACTTGATCTAGGCTTGATTTGACTCGAAGTTGACTAACTTTGATATCATTAAATCCTTCTCATCGAGCTGGTTAGTTTGACTATAAGCTTACTGAAATCAGAGCTCTGGAAGACTGTTAATCAAAGTTTAAATGTTTCTTGCTCAAAAAATTATCTTGAGATTCGTGGATGATAAAAATGTGTTGGTGGCTTATCAATTATAAATTTTTTTAAAGTAAATCTCTTAAAAGGTTGAGAGATGGGACATGCTTTTATCATAAGATCGAAGGCACATAAATATAGATGGACGCACTTTGAGGAAGATGAAGCAACACACCAATGATAGCTGCATTGAGGACATACAAATCTATGACCGTCTTATATAGTTTGGTTAATTGAAAGTATATTAGATGTTCTTATGATGATTATTAAAGTTAGATAAATGTAAAATTTAGTGAATTCTAGTTCAATTCATTTGTACCATATGGGTCCTCAATAGGAATCGTTTTTTCACATATGACTCATGCTTGTGGCTATATTTATATAAGAATGGCGAAGTAAAATATACATATTTTTTAAGCGCTCTTATTGATGCAATATGCAAGTTCTCGAAAGATGCTGGTATTCTTAAGACGGTGATTGGCTGCGATGCAGATTTACGTTAAATAGGATTTATCAAATCCATGAAATCATGCGAGCTTGCGACGGAGTGGAGTGGAGAACGTGAGCAACGGCTCTTAAGACGGTGATTGGCTGCGATGCAGATTTACGTTAAATAGGACTTATCAAATCCATGAAATCATACGAGCTTGCGACAAAGTGGAGTGGAGATGGTGGAGTAAATTCATTTAATCCGCCTCACATTCGGATTTAATAAATCCAAATTTACGTTACACAACAGACGGAACGAGGGGGTGATCGGATAGTTGGATTTTGTTTTCCCTTTTTTTTTTGTTAGTGTTTGGCTGGATATAGGTTAAATCCATGCTAAATCCTGTTAAAAGTGTGGACCAGACACCCTCTAAAATTTGTAGAGGGACATGAGGTCTCATGAAGGCCGAGAGAAGTTTCACAAATTATTTATTGTTGGAAACAACCTTGATTGGAGTTGTTTAGTATCGTCTTACACATTATAGCAATAAAACTTGCAGAAGCAAAACAAGGTTTAGTTTGTTGGCTACTAGCCAAGCTCTAGAATAGAAGATGGCACAGCTAAGGGGATGACGATTAGAAATGATCAGAGGAATCAATCTCATGTTGTATAACTTCCCATCATGCCAGGTTATACCAACATTTAGAGTGAGGAAACTGCCACTTTAGGAGTATAAAAGAAATCAATAATAGATGGTGTACTTCTAACATCAGTGGATCTACTTAGTTGGGTAAAAGATATGCTTCATAAACCTCTTATTAACCATCCAACATTGAGATATTATGAGCTTTGGACTAATCTAATGGGTTTTATCCCGTTGGTGTAATGTAACATCCTGAAAAATCACCATCTCAAGAGTGCTTCGATAAAAAACACACTTAACTTTATAATCTCCAATTAACTTCTAATTAATATACAAAACAATGCCCCGATAATTATGAGTTCAACTTCTAAGAAAAAGGGATTTCTAAGATTTTCACTTGCAATAGTTTTATTAGAAAGGAAAAATAGAGTTGGTGGTTCAGGAATTTATAAAAAGGAATATAGAAAAAAAAGATGGGAGAGAAGACTAAATAAATTTTAACTCTTTTTTTTTTTATGATCCTCGAATAATCGATGCTATAAAAATTGAATAAGTCTATAATTATGCAAAAAAAAAAGCACTCTTTTGAGAAGTTTTCCGGTAGAAAGTTACAGAATATTTCTTTTTTTTATTATTATTTTAAAGATAAGATATACACTTTGATTTGACAAAAAATGGTGGATCAAGCGATCTCTTCTTTCTCATGGAAGTAGGCATGATTTAGTTCCATACAAATCAACATGTCTTCCTATTATTCTTAGCCTTTTGTAATAGCTTTATTTGTTCATCATATTTGCTCTTGATAAATGCCTCTGCAAATAAAAATTATGTCATTCCTTGCAATTAATAATATACCCATATAAAAATTAAAATACCTCGATAAAATTCTCTTTGCTCCCCCAAATGCTAATTATAATACCTACTTAATCTAGTTAATTGATAAGCCATATAACTACAAGGAGCCTTTAACCACTTTGTCATGATCCAAATAGGGTAATATCCTTTTAGCCTATAGCACTTTCTAACCAAAAAAAAAAAAAATCAAAGAAGAATAAAGCAATATTGCCCTATTGACAGCCCCAAAAATCCTTGATTTCTCAGCACTAAAAGAAAAATTAGAGAGGGAAAAAAGGAGGGAGGAAGAGAGTGCTTAATAATCCAATGTGCACTACTCCCAAACCCTTTATACCAACTCAATGTAACACAATGCCATAACTTTTTGGACAGCTGGTAGACTGGTGCATTATTGCCCAAAAAAGGGTTACCTTAAATTAAAGTTTGGGCCCTAAGCATTAGAGGCACAATTTCAAAAAGCGAGTCACATATAGACCAACATTCGACATCATACACTAGACTCAGGCATAAGCATCAATCAAATCATTAATTTTTTGGGTTATTTTTTGAGAGAGCACTACCATAGATGAAGATGACAAGAAATTTGAGTGGATTGGTATTGTGAATGATCTTGGCCGTTAATTCTCACATTAACTTGATCATAAATCAAGTTATTCATAACCATTAAGTTACTAAATCCATCAACTGAACTAATAAACCAGAATTATGTCAGCAAGGGTACAAATCTCATAAATGTGGCACAAGATCTTAACTAGGCTAGAGGTGAATGTTGTATCATTGATATCAAATCTTTTGAGAATCCCAAAAATGGTTTAACGACAAATTCACAGCTTTTACAACCTACAAAAAGGTTTGATTATTGACAGTACCTATACTGGACAAAGGGCCTAGCATATAATGCAGATTTAAACGCCTATCCCCACTGAGAGTAGCCTAGCACAACAGTACAATTACTTCCTATATTCATGTCACTAGTACGGATAGGGTAAGATGGACCACTGATTTTGTTCATCACACAGTTCTGCTCAAAAGCAGAAAGGGTTCCATTATTGCAGCATTAAAAAAAGTGGAGGCTTTTACAATGCGTACCCCGCCCAATACTTAGCTATTTACATATCTAACATTTAAACTTTGCTTTTACATTTATATAACTCAAATCCTTCGTAGCACATCAAAAATATCACTAGCTTAACTTTTTAAAAGTGATATACACCTATGTCCATGCATAAATAAGATGCATGAATGTAAAAATTGAAATTTATGTGTTAGATAGATACACCTATATTGACGTTAATGTCAACATATTGCAAGTTCTCTTTTTTTTCTTCAGTGTGAATTGGGCAGTATAGTTTTTTTTTCATCAATATATATTTTGGCACACATCGTTTAGGCTTCCAACTCAATAGTGTGCTGCTTAAATAAGCAGAATTCAAACACTGATTGACATTAACAGAGTACGAGTCCCACCAAATGGGAGGTCATAATCTGTCAATGTCAACATGGGGCCAAATTTGGCCTAGAAATTAAATACATAAAAAAACAGGAGTTCTACAAAAATACCGCTTACAAGGGAAAAAAAGTCAGCTTAATATTTCTAGTGCAAACCAAGAATAATGATATACTTGCTCTCCAAATAAATCAGCGTATAAAAAAAAATTAAAAAGATTTACATACAAGCCACCCCCTACCCATGTATTTACATATCTAGCAACTAAAATTTGATATATTGACATTAATAGAACTTTAGATATGCATCAAAAGGTGCATTTCACTTTTAGAAAGTTAGAGAAAGTGGTACTTTCAATGCAATAAGAAAGATTTGAGTATTACAAATCTAAAAATCGAAGTTAAGGAGTTAAATATGTAAATTCATAAGAATTATGCGACAAGTAAATAACCCCTTTTTTGTTCCCATTGACCACACGAGCATGTAAATAACACTCTCATTTTGCAAAAGATATGTAAATATCACAGCAAATAAATGCACAATAATCCATAAAAGTACATGGTCATCTAAAAATTGGCAAAAGAAATCAACAAACAATTAAGTTCACAAAACAATGTAAAAAATCAGAGAGAATACTCAGAAGCACATAGATATCAAAATTGACTAGAACATAAAAATATTTAACCATAGTTACTAATGAGTTTGGAGAGTTACAATATGAATATCACTAGTAAGCACATATCTGATAATTAGCAATATAAGTTTTCATATTCTCACAGAACTGCCAAAAGTTAATATAATAATTCATTTAAACAACAGGAAAGCAGTAGGCTAACACAGTTACTTATTTCCCTGCAAGTTGGGCTGAATGGGTTGGACACGAAAAGTCATTGGCATCTGAGCCGCATACTCGCGATCTTTATGATGATAGCCGATGTCGAGTTCTCTCATACTCCCTTCCATTGCCATTTGTTGTTGGTGCTGCAAATTGAAAACACTGAGTTCCAAAAATGACAGGCAAATCAAAAAGTACATACCATCAAATTCCTATATATTTACATATCTAACACCTAAAACTTTACTTTTTATATCAAGCATAGTGAAGGCAATACAAATTGAGGTTTAGGTGTTAGATATGTAAATACACAGGAATTGAGTGGCATGTCCGCAAGACCGAAAAAAAAAAATTTATGAGAACTATGTTGGAGCAGGTAGCTTTTTCTTCATTCCATATCCTGATTCATTTTATTTTATTTTATTTCCTCTCAAAGCCCTTTCCCCTCTCACAAATAATCATTTGTATTGGCATAATATAAAAATAACATTGCAAATTTATTTATGTTTTTAATAAATAGCACATAATGTTCATTCAGCAATACCTTGTTATAGACAAATCGCCTATGCATCATGAAGCATGTGAATGCTTACACAATCAAGAAAACTTGATGTTACACAACATGGATTTAAGGATACAACACTCACAGTAATTTTGGTTGAAATAAAAATTAGAATTGATGAGACCGCCAGTCTAGTTGAGATGGTTCATGGCCTTAAAATAAAAATTGAAATTTTGATGCAAAAAATCTTTCTTGAAGGAAATGAAGTAGCCACTTCAAGAGCGGAACTTTCTAATATTGCCAATGGCCTACAATTTTCTACACAAAATCTGAAATTTATTGTTTCCCAAGGTTCACATAGGTTTTTATAAGTCAAATGAGATCATCATGCATTAGAGTAGATCCTCCTCAGACAAATTGGATAGTATCCTGAACATGGCCATCATCAGCATAAGGCTGAAGCTATAACAATCATTATAGGAGGATTAAGTTGATTGTTCCTCTTTCAATGGAAGGTATAACCCAAATGCATACTTAAATTGGATAACAAACATAAAGAACTACTTCAAATTAGTGAATAAGCTATAGCACATAAAATTTTGTTTGCTTAATAATAAATTAACTATCTTTGCAAAATATTTTTGAAGATAAGCAGTCAACAATAAATGCGATCAAAAGAAAGGTAGGCCAAAGCAGATTTTATTTCCTATATATCATAAAGATCAATTGCATACCAAGAACCATAATTTTACATAAAGATTCCCTAAGTGTAATTAAATATTTAAATAGATTTAAGGATTTACTATATTGATAAGTTAGAGAAGTTGAGTGGATGATGAAACCCAATTTTATAAATGACTTAAAATTTGGCATCCAAATTGAAGTAGAAAATCATAATTCCACTAAATTTGATGATGCCTTTCATAGAACTCTAGAAATTTTTAATTTTATTTAAATTAAGATAAATCATATATTTTAATACTCTTAAATTTAAATGTTAATCAATTGGATGAAATTAGTCTTCCATTTTAATTATAACCCTATTTCCATAAATAAGTAATGAGAAATATATTTTTCATCATTCATGAACTGCAAAAAAAGTTTAAGATTCAACTCCTTTATTTTGTCAACTATTCTCTCTTCCCTATTTCTCAATTTTGCAAGGTCTGCTTCATAAGAAAGCCTTCAACTATTTTGTCTCCTTATGATCTCCAATATAATCACAATATAGCAGCATAAAACTTGTCCTTACAAGAAACTAAAACTATTCTGATTGCAACTATAGCATTCCCTATAGTTGAGCCTCTAAATTCCATCATAGAGACAACGGAAGGATAAAAAAAGCCAAGAAGGAATACCTACTTATCTGGAAAATATACACTATACTGAATACTTTATGAATGTTAATGGTTAAATTTATCATGTTAAAAGAGAGCTATATCCAATAAAATCATATTTACTTGGTCTGCTCAAGTTAGTCAATTAGGTTACTTGCCATTTTTCGTACTAACACTCGCCAGCAATAATTGAAGTATGGAAATAAGAAAAGATTCACACAAACCCAAGCTTTAAAGAAAGATTCACACTAAGAAAGTCCCCATACTTCAATGTTTATAGGAAGAAATGAGTTGAAAAAATATGCATGATTTAAAAGGCCCTCCCAATATTGAACTTGGCTACTTAGATATTTAAGTTACATTGGTGAACAAACATGATGCACTAAAGTTGGGCTAATGTAACCTAAATTAGGTTAAACTACATAAAGAGCATGAAAACCAGTATGGATAGACCCAGCCCACAAGGAGGCTAAACCAATGTGACTACAACAATCTTATATGGAGAATGGCTAGACCAAATTTTAGAAAAATTGCATGGAAAGTAAACCAAGGCACATAAGGAGCCAAAAAAAAAGGCCCGTACCATTGCTACTATTCCGAATAACCAAACCCTAGTTTGAATATTTTAAAAAAATACTTAACTAATAAAGCTATTCCCGCCGAATGTTTTATCAATGTTTTTATTAACAGAATGTTGAAGGGCAGACAAATAAAATAAATAGGAGATCAGCTTATTTTTAGGACATTTTCACGCAATTAGTTTTAATATGAAAATTCTATTATTTCTTGGAGTCTATAAATAGAATCATTATTTACATTCATTTTTTATTACAATTAGATGGCAATTGGGCATAAGTCTTGCATACTTTTCTAATTAAATTCCCTCTTTCACTCTCTCCCTTTCTCTTTCTCTAAATCACGTCTCAAGCTTAAATATGGGGGCAAATGTAATGGAAATAAAAGAACAAAAAGGGAAAGCAATTCACAAAAGAAGGTGAAGCAAGGAAGTCATCACCTAAACCAAGGTATACCTCCAAGGGATTGTTTGGTCATGGATTTACTAAATCCTATAAATCGGGATTTACTAAATCCAAGATTTAAAAGTTCATATTTAATGTCTAGCTAGATTTGAGTTAAATCCAACTTAAATGTATCACCATCCCCAAGTTTAATTTACAAGTTTCCATTATTCTTCTTTTGGTTCTACACATTCATCAATCACTCTCCATATCTCATAATCCTACTTGGGAAGTACTACATTAAACAATAACTATTTAGCATCTCGTGTAAGGTGCCATCTAACTCAAACCTGCAAGCTAATAGGCATACCTGCTCTCCCTATAATCCTAAATACTCTGTCGAAAAAGCTGAATATTCAACCTCCCTGAGCTTGGTATAAGTTTTAGAATCTAGCACTCCTTGATCAAAATCACATTTCAGTACCAAAATAATCACAAATTAGCATTCCAAGTCGAAAAATGGTTCAAAAGCAGCCTGCATCTAAATATTGGATCATTGCTAACACTTCCAGCCGAAACAGTTCCAAAAAACTGCAAATCAGAAGACAAATAGGCTAACAAAAGGCAACATGAACATTTAAGTTCCTATAAGATGTTACTAATTCGATCCAATCTCAAAATTGGCACGCTTCTCCAAAGAAATTAGGGCAAACAGATTTCTTATTTCAATAATTCAAACAACTCAATGAGAATACAAAGATAAGCACCAATGATTCTTCCAATTCCTATAATTTGAGAGGTAGTAAATCTCTCCCAAAACCAAAACCTAAGCCTCACAATACAATCTCCTGCAAAAATCTAACCCTAGACATAACAAGCATATTTATACCCAACAATAATAATAATAAGAAAAGACTAAATTGCCCTTAGGCGTACAAAAGACAATTTTGCCCTTAGGCTAGACACCCTCATAACAGTTACAATTTAATTTCAATAATCTTAATGGTGTCGGGCAAAAGTGTATGCACGAGTGCTTTTAAATTCTCATGTGTTTACATATCGCACGCCTAAACTTTCATATTTACTAAGGATTTTAGTGCTTTAAGCCTATGCATGCGTATTTCACTTTTAAAAAGTGATGATAGGGCTATTTTTTATGTGATATTAAAAATTTGAGTTCTATGCATGTTAATATGAAAGTTTAGGCGTGATATATGTAAATACATAAGCCATGTGTGCTATATATGTAAATGCCTATTTAAAATTTCTTAAGCACTAATAAGAATAACGTGGAATGGTCATTACCAATAGGTATGTGAGCCTTTTATTTTCATCTTCAAGCATCCTTTCCTGCATATTGTAAGTGTAAGAACCCAATAATTAAAACCAGTTACCAACATAAAAAAGTCAAAAACAGAAAGGCTTGTTGGTTCATGAAGCATACATTCTTTTTTAGCATCTTCAAGTAGTCCATCTGTCAAGATTAACAACCAAAAAAAAATCGTCACTAAAAAATTCACAAGCTTGAGGTCATCTGCCTCCTTTTATGCACAAATTCAAAGTAAAAAAAGGTTGGTATAGTTAAAAATGCATATGAAAATAAAGAGGAAAAACTGTTACTTGTTTATCCCGAACGCTGGTGAGACCATTCTGCAGGGCTTCCTCAATCGGAATAAGCTCTTTTGGGTTAAGAGAGTTCAGATCCTCCCCTTTCAAATGCCTGCTCAAAACCCAGGAAAACCTAATAAATCTCAGTTGACACAAACAGTCCCTAATCATCAATCAAAGAGACGTTTTTCAAATTACCTGAGTTCGATCTGCATATTATCATTTTCCTTCTTGATACGATCAATCTCCGCGCTCAAGTTCTGCAATTGCACTCCCAACTCAGCAAATTACCAGAGATCCCCGCCATATTAAACAAAAATAACAACAGTTTCACCGAATTTTACCTCGTGCTTGGCGTCCCAGAGCTTCTTCCCCGAGTTCTGCTGGTATTTCTCCAGCATCTTCGACAGCCTTCAAATCCCACAACTCCCCGTTATAAGAAAGAGAAAACAAAAGCAAAATAGAAATTTGAAATCGATAGATTAAATCAACCTACGTGGTGGATGGGCTACAATACTCAAACATCTTTCCAAGGCTGGAAAAGATGACAAGCGAAACCTGGGCGTCGCAGAGCACGCTGATCTCCTTCGCCTTCTTCATGATTCCATTCCGCCTCTTCGAGAAGGTCACTTGCCGGTTGGTTGAGTTCTCGATTCTCTTGATCTCTATCTTTCCCCGACCCATCTCCACCCAAAAACCGGAAAGAGCAGGATGAAAAAGAAAAGAGACTGCAAGAGATTTCAGGAGCAGAAGCGAAAACCCCAAAAAGAAGCACAGCAAAGAAGGATGAGCGGATAGGAGGAGGCGAAGAAGAAGAAGAAGAGGGGTTTTCCATAAGGGGAATGAAAGTGGGGAGCTTTCGCGTCGGCTGAGGAGGACTAGCTTCAATTGGGATGGAGAAGTACGAGAAAGCTCGCCTAGATCGCGAGGAGGAGGAGGACGAGGAGCTCTTTTCCGATTTGATTTTTCACTCAGCCCCTCAGTAAATCCCTTATTGATTTGCCATTTTGTCAGAAGCTTATTTATTTCGAATAGAATGCAATATATCATATGATTCAAATTAACTATTTTCAATACTAAGAATTATTATAATACTTTGCTCATTTAGTTGTGCCACAATTTGTAGTGAGATTAGAAATATTTTTTAGTTTATGTTTTTCTAACTAGTGTGAAAGGGCGCATTATCCATGATATAATCGCTGAAAAAGTAGTCTCTCATCATGAGATGATAAGTTCAAATCATACGTATTGCTCTTTGGGCTCATATTTCCCTCTCATGAGTTCAAATCATACAAAGAGCAATATGTATGATTTAAAAGTCTTATTCTACCACCAATAAAATATCATTGCTCTTTTGAAAATTAATGAGATTGAAATATCTCATATTCAGTTGGTGTCAATTCCTTTATAATTGGTGGGTCTCACTGTGAAAAAGACTAGAATATCAAATTTGGTCTTAGATATAATAGAGCTAACAATAATAATAATTAGAGTGCAATTATGTTGTCCCACTTTCTATCGGACATATATATTTTTTTAGCTTAAATTTGAAATATTTTTCTAAGGGTGTAAGTCTTATTTATCACTTTTGGGCGAAGTAATTTTAAGGACTATTTATATTCATACCACTGAATCCCTATGCAATTACCTATTTTGCACTTACCATCTATTTTATATTTAAGCTTTTGATGATTCTAAGTATTATGGAAGAAATTAGTCCATGTGGTAGGTCTTGTGATGATTGAGACTTGAGAAAATCAAATTGAAATGAAATGTATTTTAAAATAAAATAAAATAACATCGAATTAGTTTTGCTTAAAAACAATCATAATAAGCTGGTTGTATTCTCGTATAGAGGACAGAGAGAATAGTTGTTAAGGCAACTAATTATCGTATCATAAAAATTGCAAAATACTTGTTTTGCAGTATCATAAGTCGTGCTTTATAAATAAAGATTTGTTGTTAGTGATTACATGTTCAAATATAAATCATTGAGACATCAATAGAAATTAAGAGTATTGAGCATTTGGTAATGGGGTAGAGAGTTGGCATGTAAGTTGTTTCACAATACAATTTATAATTGTTGTATTATTGTATGTCTTATATTGTTAGGTTATGGTCTTATATGTTATTTCCTATTCGAGAATACTGGCGTCACGTTGAGATTTGTGTCATAACTTTTTGTGAGTGAAGTAAATAGCACCAAAGAAGCGGATAAAGATCACGAGTGTTAGTGTCCATCAATATTCGATAAAGATAAACAAGTGATAACAAACAAAGGTGGAAGCAACCCCTTTTTTATAAGGGGCAAATTGTCTCTCTAGAACCAACATGAGAGAGGTTAGGGCAACGAAGAGCAATGATATTTCAGGAGGGACAATAAAATCAAATTACCACCCCCCCTGATTTTTTTCAGGAGGGACAATAAAATCAAATTACCACCCCCCCTCCCCTTTGATTTTTTAAAAGAAGCTACTCATATAGAGCATTATTAACACTTAATTAATGCTTAATTATGGTAATTAACTTATGTATTAATAAATTCGATAATTCCTTCATGAATTGAGCTCTAATCAATCCCAATCAAAATTTTGGACAATATTGTAATTCAAAGTAAAGCTTGCATGAAAAATAAATTACAAATTTCAATGAGGTAAATAAATACAAAAATTTTAAACGTTATAATTGTAACAGACCCTGAAAGTCCGCAGAAAGGAGGCCACGTTCATGGCCCCTCAATCGCAACGGTGCACGTGCCCTTTCGTTGCCATTAAAGGCAGTGGGTCCGCCGCAAACCGGTATTTTTTATTTTTTAATTTATTTCTCTTTTTAAATTTTAATTTATCGAGATTCGCACGTGCCACTGCTACGTGTTGTCGCTTTCCAGTGAAAGATGGGCATCGTTTTGTTATTTAAATTTATTTTTTTATTCTATCAGATTTATATGATCGACAAAATGTTACTCATAATTTTAGTTGTGTCTATATATGTATATTGATTGGTTCTTCCCCATTTAACTAGATTTTATTTTGTTATAAAATATACATAAACAACCATTGTATTTTGAGTAAAATATATTAGAGATAACATATTTTATACGTATTAGTTGGTTAGATAGCATTTTTTTGGGGTCGATTTGAGGCGCGTATTTTCTGTTCGGACACATGATGTACCTCTACGTGCGGTTCAAGTTATTTCTGACTTCAAGTTATTTCTGGGTTATTTACAATAATCCCGAAATAACCCCGAAATAACCCAGCAATAATCCCGAAATAACCCAGAAATAACAAAAAAATAAAGACCGCGGGTTATTTCTGGGTTATTTCGAATTATTGAAAATAACTCATAAATAACCTGAAGATAACTCAGGAATACCCTGCGCCTCACGTAGAACTATGTCAAGAGTCCGCATAAAAAAAAAATTTCGATTGGAGAGAGTTGATTATAGATATGATTATGTTCGGACACATGATGTACCTCTACGTGCGGTTCAGGTTATTCCTGAGTTCAAGTTATTTCTGGGTTATTTATAATAATCCCGAAATAACCTAGAAATAACAAAAAAAATCAAGACCGCGAGTTATTTCTGGGTTATTTCGGGAAAATAACTCATAAATAACCTGAAGATAACTCAGGAATACCCTGCGCCTCACGTAGAACTATGTCAGGAGTCCGAATAGAAATTTTTTTTCGATTTGAGAGAGTTGATTATAGATATGATCGTCTGATGAGAAGGCTAACTGAAGAGGGTTCACTAATAAATGCCAGGAGAGGGACGAGTGGTGAGAGCCAAGGGGCGAGTGGTTGAGTTCAACAAGTTCTCTGAAAAATCTCGCCCACATAAACTGAGAATGAGGATTTTTTGTTATATATATTAGCAAATATTTTATCTTATCTTATTGAAAGACAAAAGTGAAAATAATAGAGAGTAATGAATATGAAACAAACATTCTTATCTCTATAAAATAAGTGCATATTAATTTGTTCTGAATAAAAAATTTATTAGATGTACTATTCCCTCTAAATAGAAGTTAAAAATTGCTTAAATAAGAATAAGTAGTGCATCTCATCATGTGTCGACTATTCATCTATCTGAGGGCTCTTAGCTCTCTTACAGGGAATTATCATGGGAACACTTTGGCTACACCTACAAGATTTTGTCGTGAAGGAATTTTTGCTCACCTTAAAAGAGTAGTTTTTTGCTCACCTTAAAAGAGTAGTTTCATAGATTTTCAGTTCATTTTCATGACAAATGATGTGACAATCTTATAGATAAAGTTTCTCAAGTGTTATCTGTGAAACAAGTCTCTTCTTTTTGTGGGACTGGATTGACTATTTCCTTATAACATGACCCGGTTACAAAGAAATTCATCTGTTTTCATTAAATTTAGATTATCATTCGCATAATAGTCGTAGCTCTCATTCAAAAGTAGTACCTGTAATTTTTAAATTTTACTTTGATCAAGATCTTGTGGTATTCAATCTCCAAATTAACTAAATTTATTACTTATTTGACCGAGTTATATTTCTTATAGTTCTTCTCTAAATTTGTCCATAGTATTCAACTATTGAGCCGAGTAAAATCCAAAAGTTTATGCCATTTTCTTTTTTCTCTTAGGAAAGTTTATGCCATTTTCTTTTTTCTCTTAGAAAACTTGCCTACAAGGAGCAAGTTTATCAACTATTATGGGCGAATTCACATTGAAGAAATTAAAAAACATAAATTCAATAAAACAAAAATAAGAAAGAGGACTCTAATAAATTTTCCCTGTTAGAGTTAGGAGGTTGATTGGAATATGCTAATTGAAGGGGTGAATTCCCAATTCTTCTGTTGAACACAAGTGGTTGAGTATAGGAGGCTGAGCGAAGGAGGGCGAGTCCATGACATCAAGTGGAGGAGGCTGATTGGAATATGCTAATTGGAAGGGGTTGCTTGATGACAGCCCACAAATAAGGATTGACTAATGGAGGTTGAGTAGCAACAACTCTCTAGGACAAGTTCTATACTTCATCACATGTTGTGAGTCAATTCTCTATGACTTAGTTTGACTCCTTGTATAGTTTATCTTCTTATTTATTGTATGATCCGCGCTTACCACGCCTTTTAAGGTATCGAATTCATATTTATCCATAAATCACATCCTATATATATTGTGGCAAATAGAGAGATGCATACTCTAAGAAATTTAGCACTTAGATATACAAATTATAAATACTTTTTCAGTGACGTGAACTTAAATCTTCCATTAATAAATAAACAGCGTATGTAAATACGCATTTTCTCGAAAAAATATTAGGTCCGGAGTCCTATAGGGAAGTGACACGTGTAAAATAGACCAATCACAGTATATTGTGATTGATCACTTTACATGTGGTGCCTCCTTATTGGACTCCGGATGATCAGAGTCCTGACCTAATATTTTCTCTATTTTATCACGGGCTAATGCAATAACATGGTTGAGGATGTTAAAAATTAAGAGGCTTTAATTAAATACAATTTATTAATATGTCATTATGTAATAATTATTTAGTAAAAAGAGGGAGAGAGCTATTTCTATTATAATATGTTCGTGTCTTTGCGTGAGCCGTCATAATTTGAAGATAATTAAGCTTATTTTCTTAATCTAAAATAAAAATAATATACTCAATTTTGACATACACTTCGTCCTGCTCACTCTTATAAACAAGAAAATACGTTATAAATATAAATATTTCTTATTTTTTAAATTAGTTTAAAAAACAAGGAAATTAAGAACAAATCAACATGATAGATATAATTTGAATTTGATTTTTTTTTTTTTTTTTGTTGGAATTTGATTCGTCCATTCTTTGACGTTGTTATCCACAAAATTCATCGCAATGTGAAAGTAGACTCCCAAAATACCTCCTTTGGTATTTAGGGTACGCTTGAATCCATGGGTTCCAAAAGATCATATAAGAAAATTGAGCTAAGTCGACCT